TTGATGAATGTATCTGTATCACTGTACACACGTATTAATATTCCCCCTTCCCATAATTCATTCAGCCTGCAGAGATCAGTGCGGCGCTTAGGAAACAAAGGAGGACACGCATCGCAGATGTGATCAATAAGATTTGGACGCGTACTACTTCTCGACGAGCAGGGGATTATTTAATTGACTTTCAGCCCTTTTGACAGCAGTAAAAGGCGTTTTGGGTGAATCGAAAGACCCTCGTGTCACACAGTTCCGTTCCATTAACTTTGTTTTAACACCCGTATTCACTGATACATGGTGAAAATTACTTGAGTACCATTTGAGTACTTAGCAACAAGCACCAGCTATTAAAACTAATCAATTTTTCAAAATCAAAGATAAAACTTATTGAAATCTTCCTGATACATTATTCCTCAGACATGATCGATACTTTCAAACGCGAGCAAATAGCCTCAAACGATTAAAATCAAGCTACTTACTCGAATCTGATTTACGATAAGAGCTATGATTCTTGGTGGATCCTCACCGGGACCTGATCATAATTCTCTAAATCAATCAGTCCAAAGTAATTTCCCCGTAATATTACAAAGTGCTTGGAGCAGAATGTTTCTTCAAATAATAAGTAATGCGATCCGCGAGAATGGCAGAGGGTAGTTGGCTGTTGGCGATAATGCGCTCCTCTGTATTCCGTTCTCGTACCGCTTCCCCATATCGATATGTTTCCTCACCCTTCCCCGTTACCCTCCGACCAACCATTTGCCCTCACTCGAAGATCAAATGGCTTCACCGATTCGCGTTATCCCCAATATTCTATTTTTATTTCGGAATCAAATTTCGCGACCGGGCCAACCGAATTTTTACGACTCTCTCTCTCTTTTTATCTGTTACAATCTAAGAAGAGAAAAAGGAAAATACACCCTTTGGAATTTCGTTTACTTAAATCTAGTACTTGTGTCACGATTTCACCCTACTTCAAATGAATATCGATAATGGCTCTTCAAATTTCTCTGTTTTATCTGAGATTTACTCACCTCACATTTTTTAGTAGACGTGTTGCGTAGAATTAACATTCTCCAAAATTATTGAGTGAAGTGAATCGGCGTTTCCTGTACCTAAAAAAATATTACTATGAAATACTATTTAAAATATCACTCCTATATTAAGAGTAGTGCAGTATAAAAAGAAAGTACTATAGCTGTGGTACTTTAGCACAAAAAATATTATTATACAATTAAAAGAAAGAAAAGACTCACCTCATTTTAAGAATCGACCAAATATAAGTTTCCGGAAAGACGATTTTGAAACAGGATTTCTCGACAGGTCTTTGACTTCGTTTTCACGTACATAGCTCGATCGACCTTAAAAATTTATTGACGTGTCAATGAAACGGTACCATTTGAATGATAAGCGAGTTCAATGATGTAGAAAGTGTTCGAGTAAATGTCACACACGACTTTCCACGCATCATTAAACATCCCGCTCTCCGGTAGTCGCGACTGAATTTCATTTTTCTATGGTTACACATGTCTGTGGAATTCACGAATTTCTTTGGCGTTCGTTATAAAGTGTTTAGAACTTATAAACTGAACTGATATTGTACCGTCTACTATACTAATTTTATATCAATGTTTACCTATATATCATTATCTAAAATTGAAAACAGTAAAGCGTTAAATAGCTCATTTCGCAATAAATCGTGTGCAATTTCCCAAACGTTGCAGACTGACAAGGTCTGATCACCAGCTCAGCCAACCACGGTCGACCGCATTCGATATAAATACTCTCATTTGGTAATATATCTCATTAAGGCCTCATTGATCCACCGGTCAGATAAATTCATCCGCCAGTTCAGAGTTATGCGCAAACCAATCTCTCTCGTCTATCGCTTCACCGATAAAAAGCTACTGAAGCTGCAAGTTTATCATGTTGGATTAATTTATAGAAAAGTGAATCGAATAGAGGGGAAATATTTGGATACTCAATTTAGTTAACGGTTGTTTAACGTCGACGAAATATTAATACTGTAGTTGTTCACAAAATGCTGAAACATCCCTTGTACTAGATTATTATATCAATAAAAGTAGACTGAAATTCGCCTGGGTGGTTGTTAAAACTTCTTCGCCTTTGCACGGTTAATTTAACCTGCAGTCCAATTTCATAATTAGAAGTTAGCAATCTCCATTAAGACCCTAAATCCCAATTGTGCCTCGGGACAACGTTTCATTTCCATCGACAGAGGGAATAATAAGAGCTGGCGCAGCAAAGTGGAATAACAGGATACGAAAGCAGGGAGAAAGTAAAAGTTGAGTGCGGACCGAAGACAACATGAAAGTTGAGCTGGAATATGTGACAGGGTGGAAAATTTGAGGACGAGAGAGAAATCATGAAAGAGGGGTAACTTTTTGATCTAAGTGACCTATAAATATTATCGACAAACTTATACTGATAAAAAGTTTGATTTCTTTTTAAATTAAAATGGAAGGTACATAGATTATTAGGCTAAGAATAAAATTACCACTAGCTTATAATTTGTAACATACTGTATGAAAAAAGAATAATAATTAATACACTTATGTAACAGTAAACCATTTTCAACCTTTAAACAAAACATAATCTATTCCATTCTTGAATCAGACTCCTACTGTTTAAATTCCACACTCATCCCCGAAATCCATCCTATCCAAAGTAACGCGTGTTCATGCAAATTCTCTGTTGTTCGATTCGTGTATCAAGATCTGAGTCACGCCTATAATCTTTCGCATAGTAAATTATCCGCCAATATCAACGAGATTAGATACTGGCTGTTACATTATCTGTTACGAGGGGGGTTTGAAAGAGAGAAACAAAGCTATGGGGATGAACCAAACTAGAGAAAGAGGGTCGTAACTGAACAGATAGAAAGAGAGCGTCAAATAGAAAGAGAAAAAGCGAGGAGACACTTCAGCCAGGCTATAAGGGCTTTGCGCAGTTATAAATGCGGTTTTGTATCTAGCTTTACAGGACAAAGTAATGGGCTTAGATAATCCTGATTTAATAAATCGAACAGTTGCGAGGGACGCACCCAGCCTGAGCGTTTACAACGCGTGCGTGACTAACACGTTCAAAAACAAGATGAATGACACGCTGGAAGACCTGGTCGTGCATTTACATTTCACCACTATATTTCTTTTTTTCCTGGCTGGAAAAATCCCGAAAATACCGATCCAAGTCTGCCAGCATTAACCGCCAAGAGGGATTTGCCGATAGAGGGTTCGTCAACCGTTAGGGACAGGTGTTAACAACACGTATTTATGGTACATTAATCTGAAGTTTAAAGTTCGATGCAAGTGGCTATAAAAATCCATGAGTATTTTAAAAAATATGTATATAATATTCTCAAAATATTAATGATTAGATTTTCCAATCATTCGAATGAATTAACCAGAGTTATAATGTTAAACGTTCAATTTGAGGGCACAGTGCAGAGAGATTTTAATGGCTTATTATCGGTTACTTGCGTCACGTTTTGGCCCCATTACGGTCTATTAAATTAGAGGTAATTCCTGGTTAAACAGTGTACCGCTATAATGTTATCCGAAAATCAATTCTTACGATGTAGTGGGATGATTTTGTCCTGCTTGATTAGAGACGAATTGCTGTCGAGAAAAAAATTATAACGTTAAGAAAGGGAAATATAATGATAACAAAATGTGAAGAGGGAAAATTTACTCTGAGAAATTAGGGTGGTTTAATAAACATAGTTACCTGATTAGGAGGGGCAGGCGCAGATGAATTTTATGCCTGGAGGGAGGTCAATAACCTCTCCGTAAACCTTGACCTTTGCCCATGAAAATTATTCAGGGAGGTTTGCACTAGATGGCAGGGTCATCAGTTCTTTAAAAAGCACAAATTTTCCTGGAAAATTTGAATAGAAGTTTTCTTTTTAAATTGAATCTCTCTGTCCCTAAAATTATGCAAAACCCGCGTAGTGTAATTTAGAAGAAAGTATCAAAGTTGTTTATAAAATAAGATTCAAGACAAATTCGGCCAACCACATATGCGATTGAAAATCCTGTCTTTCACTTTTTATACCAATGTAATGATTTCTAGCTCTTTCAAAAAACTCGCTAAAAACTGAAAGATGAATTTAACAAAACTGGCAAAGAAGAAGGAGCCCCTATTTAAAGAGGAAATTGACATTTTATGTGTCGGCCAAGCGAAGAGGAGAAACAGTCAATCTCGCCCAGATTGTCTGGCTTCCTTTCTCTCCGTTATCTTAATTCCTCGAGTGTTTTAATTTTCATCGGAACAGCTATTAACTTTTACGGCTGGTCGTTTACTTTTTAATTCGTTTACCGCTTCTCGCGCCCGCGCTCACGCTTATATCTTTAATTTAAGCTCTCGACTTGGCGGCCATTGAACAAGCCTGCGGATTGGCGAGAAAAGAGGGGTGGCCAGGGGTGGAGTTTAGTGGGGTCACGCGGAGCTGGCATGGATAGAGAAGGGTGGTTTGTGGGTGCAATCGGTACGCTCAGAGTCCCGCTCGCTCCCCTGACGCCCGTTACGTTAATTAAATACATTGTTGTGGGGACACAGACTCCTGCTGCGTATTTCGAGCTTTATAGATGTACAAGGCCACCTCAAGTCGCCCTTGTTTCCTTTTTTCCTTCAGGTACGCTTTTGTCTTCTCCTTTATAGCTGCAAGTTTGTCCTTTTTTGTTTCAATTTTGATTCAACAATCCTCTGTATGGCGTGGGACTAATGGTGGCACATACTGAGCGGAACCGATTTCTTCACATTTTCCTAGTTATTTAAAAGGAACTTCTGCGAAAAAATATGTTAACTACATTCGCAAAATAGACCTTAATCTGAAAGTTAAATTGACGATGTATAAAGAGTATTCCATAACAACTTTAATGGTATATTCAACAAATATGAATAATTAAAAAGTTAATGTAGTTAAGATCACTACATTGGTTCATTTGGAAAAAACAGTAGTTCGAATGAAGCGGTTGGTTTGCTTGCAGGTCTGGTTCCAGAACAGACGGACAAAATGGCGGAAAAAGCACGCAGCGGAAATGGCGACGGCAAAAAGGAGGCAAGAAGAGGTCGAGGGTGTCGTTGCAGAGGGTGAGGATGGTTGCAGCGACACGGAAACCGATGGAAATAGCGAGACTGCTGCGAAGAGACTCAGAAGAGAGCTGGAACAACAATACAGGCATTAAATAATCTAAAAAACAGCACCGATTTTAATGATGAATAAAAGACATTCACTGGGTAACTTCCTGAGAAAGGATACTCATGAACAGGACAAGATTGATTCTATCGACCAGAGTATAGATAAATAAATTTTAAAATTTGGCCTTTCACTAATAATTCATTCACTTATATAAATCACTCGTTTCCGATTTCCTATGTCGATTTTTTAATTTTATACGAAAGGAAATTAATTCTCGTGGCCACATAAATTTAATTTTTAGCTCATTCTTTTTTATAAAATACCGTTTTCTTGGATATTATTTTGCAAAGTACAAAACAGTTTGAAAATTTGAACGAATTATTGACTCAATCTCGTAGTTCAAGGATTAAGATTTTAAATTTGGTTCATCTAATATTTCCTGTCGTTAATAGAAATCTACCGTCATTGTATATATTTGTACTAAGATACTCGTATACGCATCACGAGCAAAACGATCGTGCCATCTCTCTCGACGTACGTTAACAAAGTTACACGAGAAATTATTGTTAAGTCGCCAGACGAAAGTGGGTGAAATTATTTGCAGGTTGAACCTTAAAAAGAAAGAAAAATCTATGTAAATTTCGAGTGTCCCTTTATGATGATTTTAAGGCAAGAAATGATTCTTGTAAATGATAAAATTAAGTTTTTGTTAAGTTGATTGTAACTAGTCTAGTCAAACGTACGTTCACGCTTTCAGGTCTAATGACAAATTGCAGAGGGACGGTTGCATCTGCAACCCCAAGATCGAAAGTGTTAAATCCTTGCAAGTCGAAAGCTGATTCGAAAATTCCTTATGAACTAATTATTCTTTATTTAATATTGCAAGCTCAAAATCTCAAATGATATGGAAAGGAATTGTAAAAAGCGTGGTAAAATTTCTTGCAACTTGCCTTAAAATTACTTTCAACTGATCCTGCAAGTAATTAATTGAACGCTCGTATCCAATTAACAACACATGTATAGTAAAGATATGCTGAATATCGGACAAGCCATTACCACCACTATAAATATAAATATATAAATATAATAAATAACACGCAAATGAGAATGCAAGTAAAGTAAGAAGAAGGAAATAATTCCCCTTACAAATTGTCTATTTACGTCCCAGTGAGCCAAGCCAATGAAAAATAAGTGGATCGAAATGGATTTTGTATATTCTGTAGATACGGTAAACGTGAATGTGATATTTAATAAGAGTCTGATATAAAATACAGGTCGATTCTAAAGCTAGCCACCAGATTCTAAATGTATATTTATGTTTGTTATGTGAATGAAAAATAATCTTAAAGATTAACTGTGATACTGGATATTAAATCTTGACAAATAGAATGAGTTTTGAACGGTTAAGTTATAGCTACTGAAGGCTAGAATAATAGTTATAACCGACTCTAATCCAAAGCTAGAACAATCCACCCTCAGTTAGAGTAGTTACTCCAAAATTAGGGCAATAGTCTATTCTGAGTAGCAAATTACTCCAAAGTTAAGTAACAATTAGGTCAGAACAATAATCTATTTTTATTCAGAGTTATAATCTACTCTAATAAAAAATTAGAGCAATAACCTACTCTAGCAATCAAAGTACTAATCTACTTTCACTCAGGGTTAGAGTAATATGCAATTCAAACTTAATGACGCACTCTAATTAAGAGTAACAGTCTACTCAACATTTGAGTAATAATCTACTCAGGTTTAAGCCTATAGTAACAGTACTAACTTGAAATTAGAGTAACGTATTCAAGCACTTATTACAAAAAATAATAAATTGTAATACTTTTTTAACCTAGCTGAAAAATTTCAAACTATTGCTATTCCTTACAGGCTTGGACACTCTTTCCTTTGAATTGGTTCTAAATTCAGTACGAAATCTGCTTGCTCGCTTTAGAATCGTCCAGTGAATAGGTATCACCCGTAAAAAAATAAAATCGAGAAAAGGCAAGCAAAATAGAAACGTAGATATAAATATGTATAATCGCATGAAACGTGCGTCTAAAAGGACACGTAGATTATCAATAAATGACTGGAAGTCGCGTGCAGAAAAACATTCAAATCAACCCCGGTTTTCGCGGCGAACCGCCTTTCCATACACCAATCTGCGTCGTTCGGTTTAATCGATGTTTTCTGAATAAAAAAACAAAGTGGCATATAAAAAAAGGACGAAGTGGATGCCGTGGCACAATTAAGAGGAAGAGAAAATCTAGTGTACCACCGAGTTAATCGAGCATTCAGCGTTACTGTACAGTATATTTAGATAAATTGCTAAGCGAACGAGGTAGAGACAATCTGTATAAAGTATTGTATAAATTATACATACGTGTTATCTATCGCTTGTGTATTATATCTCCAATTTAATAAATGGAACACGTATTATGGTAATTATAAAACTACTCTGTGTACTTTTCATTGATTCTTCAATTTTCCAATATGCATCCTTTTCCCCTTTTTCTTGTATTTACTAAATCTGTTTCGATTTTAAAAAAACATTCAGTTAAAATTTAAAAGTTGAAATCAAATTTAATAATTAAACGGTCAACATTAAATATCTTAACACTGGTAATTGAGAGAGAAAAAATATGCAAATTGAGGGCGAAAATTACTAAGACCATTAGGACTGACAATGAAATGCAAGGGATCGTAATGAACTCATCAATCATAAGGGAAGACACTGGTGTCATTTTTAACACATTAATTATCAATCAAAGTTAGACAGTGTTCGCTAAAAAAAATTGTTAGGATTTGCATAATTTCAATAGATGACAACTTGAATGTTAACAAATTCCTTATACATTCTATAATAAAATAAACCTAAAAACATGAATTATTTAAAGAAACATATAATCGCTTCCGCAGATATACAAAGATCATATAAAAAATATATACAATATCATATAAATATCTCAATAAAGGCAACATTCATTGAACATCCTATAATTTATTCATTAGAATTTAGAAATTTACCTCATTAGAAATATTTTCTTTTATTCTTTTATTAATCTTCTATCTTGAATCACTGAAACTTTTGCTTTTACAAAATCTGAGGCTCATGGTGGAAAGTCGCCATCTCTACTGCTTATCCAAAATAAATTTCTTATTGTATAATAAAATTAATATTACCTGAAAAAATATAGAAACATTAGTTCATGAATTATCAAATCATCCCCCAATGTCGACAAGTCATTGGAAATCATCGCTCGCAAGCCTAATGAACCGGAAACGATGTTTCGCAGGGAAAGGCAACGGGACAACCGGTACGCAATAAACCGTGGAAAAAGTCTTGTTGGCTGGCGTTTTCGTAACTGGTATCGATTTCAAATACGTACGCGAAGGAGGACAATGGGGTGGTGATTAATGTTACGAGAGTTTTCGTGAGTCATAAAGTTAGCATTCGCAGAGAGGTGTTAGAGAGTGGTCCTTTACGCCTCTCCACCCTCGATCGGTCCGAGAACGGAGGAACCTCGTCCCGGGGCCATTGGCAGTGCAAATTTATCGTGGTGTTAAGCCGTTAATATTTGCTTTCGTACGGCTTTAAATCAATGAAAAATATTCTAATTGGAATATGAAAAAAGTTGGCACACGGTCCGCCTGTGACAGAGGGTGCTGTTTGCCGATGCCAATAGAGTGGCGAAGGGTGGCGGGAACTCTGGTAAGGTGGCCTGTCTGCCACGTTACAGAATAGAATATAAATTGTCTTAACGAGTTGCCGGTGCAAAGAAAAATGGCAAAAACTTTTCGACTCGAGACCATTCGCGCTCCAGCAACTCTCTCTGTATTGACCTATAGATTCCATCCGACCGTCACGATTCGCTAACTACAAAGCAAGTTTACTAATTTCCTGAATCGAAGCCCGTAACGTTCTGCTAACGCACCCAACCACCGCCGCCTTCCAACACCCTCTGTCACGACCCATTAATTCGCCAAGATCCATTAACATCTCGTGGATATCGTATCGGGCAACGTACGCTTAAACGTTGTCGCTAATTGGGTGGATTTAATTGATTTGGCATTTCGAATGGTATACGTGGTTCGCTCCAGAAGTAATCAGGCTGTTTGCTTTGTATTAAGTAAATTGCTCCAATCTGTGAACCTTTTGAAACATTCAAATTATTTTAATGCATACAAATATATCTTTCACTTCTTAATTATCTTCATAATGAAAGAATTAGTTAAAATCGCAAGTTAACACTGCAGTTTTGTTTCACAGTTTACCTGAAAGAGAACATGAGTAAGGTGGTTATCGTATAAGATTAAAATCAGAACCAAAAGCTTCCCACTAACCAAGTAGGAGCTGTAAACTAATTAACATTTCACTAGTCATCGAGATTAACCTGGGGATACAAGAAAAATTGGTAGTCATGGGAAACGATCGATTAGCAACGAAGAATTGGAAATGTCGGAATTAAGGGATGACGATCGGTTACACGAGGATTTTCAAGAACACGGCACGCGGCCGTAGATGAAAGCTATCACCCTATCCGTGCACGCGATGGGTCCTGGACTCGATTTCGAACGAGATCGACCCCGATCGCGATTCCAGCTGGCAATAATTCCTCTTCGGTAACCGGCTGACAGGAAATCCCAGGTTTTACTTCGAATACCGCATTGATTAACTTATCTAATCTAATTTAAATGCGAACCTGGTTGGGGAAACGGGCTTTCTCGCTTCCACTTTTCACCGTGGAGAGAAGAAGACCCATGGCCCATCGGTTAGACAGCAGGGGATGAAGGCGAACCCTTGTGGTGTAACCGATGCTGCACGGGGTAAGAAAGAGAGGGCGAAACGAGAAACTAGGAACATTAAGCGCGATAGTGAACGGCGGCCAAGAAACGAGACGAAGAGAAAAATGGGGATTTGGGAGAACGTGTAAGGGTGGATGTTCCGAATCGGACAGAGAAACAGAAAGGAGAAAAAGGTCCGACGAGCGAAAGGGAAGAAGACATTCGGGGGCAGAGAAGTGGTTGCACGAGATAATGAGAGAAGCGAGGGTGAAACAAAATGAAGCGATCTAGTATGGGCGGGTCGTAGGAGCAGTAATACGAACAGGGTTGTACCGTGTTGAGTAAGGCGAGTTAGGGCATACAAACCGCTGTGTAACGTATCAAATCGAGTGCTGAATCCGGGATTAAATCGGCGAGAAGCGAAACAAGAGAACTAGGGGCCGTGAACGACATCCATGGTACCGTCGAGAAGACGAGGCAAATCCACGTAGGTGCAATTTTGACTAACGTTAACGTCCGCGTGAATGGGCTAGCAAGTTGTATCGTTTACGTTAATTTTATTCGTCATCAACGACATACCGTGATCTTCTGTAAATTAAAGTACCTGTTAAGGAAGGAATATGGATTATGGATCAGTTCCAATAACTCTCCTTTAATAAAAAGTACTTTTTATTAAAATAAAAAATTGCAAATTACAACTATTACAATATTTTACAACTACATACTACTTACTATTAAAAATTATCTCTACGATTTCTATTTCTTAAGATCTATTTCTTAATAATTATTAACTATTACCCATTACTGTACTACACTACAACCATTAAACCATACTACATTACCATACCATGATTATTATACTTCAACCCTATGTTCAAGACTTGGTCAGGCTTGTATAGATAATATGTTCTTTTCACAAATTACTCGACGCGAATTGTTCGAACAATTTGAGATGATTATATTCCTCCTCTGTCGGGGAATAACGTATGATTGACAGTATAATAATAACGGCGATTACGACAATATTGAAGCAACGGCTGACTTTGTTACCGTATCTAACCAGGGGATTTTCCCCTTATCCTCGGACACCCTAACCGGTCTTAACTTACTGCATTAGTTTCGCAAATTGAAGAATTCCGGCTATATTTCCATTCTATCTTCAACTGTTTCTTCCTTCAATATTAAAAGCATGGTCTTATCATATGAATACGATATCAGAGATGAATTCTCAATAATCTTCTGTACAGATCTACATATAGATTGAAGCATTATTGATAATAATAGTAAATCATAAATTGAAAATATAGAAAAAGAGATTACCTACTTTGTCGGAACAATGTAACGTAACGAATAAAAGAATTGACAATATGGCGACACGAATTCAAATGTAACGGTTGCAAGTATCTTAAACAATGAAAATTCATTTGAATACATAGATGGTTAAATCGATGGAAAAAATAAGGAACATCGGAGGCTTACCTCCCCCATTCCAACCTACATCTTCTTCTTTTCGATCACCGTTTACTGTTCTTCCCTTCTCTATTTATCATCCGACTACTCATCTGCTGACTTGTTATTAAATTAATCCTTCGTTTAGTCAAATTGATGCATTGATATCATAGAGCACTCATAACTCACGGCACCCTTTCCGCCACGATTAGTACACGCGCAGCCGTTTTCACGCGCGACCCCTGATTCAACCAAGTGAGGGGGCTTTACTCTGCAATTCCCTATTTGCACCGATGCAGACTCCACTATTTATTAACATCATTACTTATCATTTCAACCACTCGTGCATCACGATGACGTCACTGAGATAAATGCATCTCGCGCTGGACCTGCGACAAGCTTTGTTTAATGGTTAACCATCGAATACTTCGATCAATGAGTAACGAGATCGATGCATCTCCTTTTTGATCAGCGCCACGTCGCGAAAGAACTGTGCAATAGCATTGACTTGAATATCGATTTGTTTCGAATCGTTCCATAGATCACCGCATGTTGGATTCCACGCGGTAGCAGATCTTTTTATAAAAACTAACAATAGAACAAAAATTTGAATGAGTCTAAGCGAGGAATGCAGAGCTAAAAGCGAACAGTTAAAATTAATGCAAAATTTTAAGTTAAATACATAAGTTAATAATAAACTTCGAAATAACAGGAACGCTCGGAAGATTTACCGCCAAAATGTTTGATTCGATCAATCACAGAAACGACAGAAAGCAAATACCGAAATCGATAAGACCGCGTATGTAATTAGTATACGCGATAGAGACGTTGATGGCCGGGGAAGTTTTATTTTCCGTTTCCTCCTCGGTACGTTTTCAATTTGAATACCGATTAATCTGGTCGAATAATCTTACCGTATATTTCGAGCGGTCCTCCGATATTCGTTTGAGAGCATTCCTTTTTTTTTTAAACTAAACGTTTCACTTTATCGGTGGTGCACAGCAATTAATAATAACACGCAATCGCGGCCGTATCTTTTATAACCTTTTGGAGTATAAATCGCGAAATTCTGGAATTATCAGGCAGCCGGGAATGAAAGGCTATTTCCGTCGCACGGAATCACGGGCAATATTTTACGTGGGATTGGGGTTGAACGCGGACACATCGACGTTTGATATTTTTATGCAGTGGCGCCACCGCGGAGAGATTTACGAGGCAGATATGCGATCACAAAATGTCCGACACTAAATCAAACATGTTGCATCGGAAAACATCAGAAATTATTATTGGGACTTTTATGGGATCGACGGGAGCGAAAGAAACGTACAATGTAACTCGACGCGCCGTTTCATTGTGAGTATCTTCCGAAGGATCTATCACGGAATAAATCGTGATATATTAGGCGATTTTTTTATAAGTATCTCAGAAAAAAACTTGATGACTACTTATGGAAGCTGCGTCACCATTGTGAGCGATAATTTTATGACGACATACATTACACTACATTGTCTATATTATTTGAACGTATGTTTTGTGTTGGCAAAATAAGATGAAGTTTATTACTGCATGACGTTAAATTTGCCTACTACGTTTAGCGTACAGTACTATAAATTTCATCATGACACTTTTTTCACGGAATAAAAACTATCATAAATCCGTGAATGTATCAATTCAACGATCGTTAATCATATTCAATTGGAAATAAAAGAAATAAATTTTGACACCAACAGTACGGCATAACTATAAATTTACAGTAAAAATGCCTTCTTATTAAACAATTCCCTCGTATATTAGTAAAGAAGAAACTATCGCATATTAAATGCATTACAATGCAACTAATGAAGGAACACAGGTTTTCCTTCCTTCTAAATCCCTCCCTCTTAGGCCCTTATACATTCTTTATCCTTAGAAGAAATAAAGGCACAGTCGTAACAGCGGAATGATTAATATCCGGCTGACAGTTTGTGAAACGGGCAGCCAATAAACGGGATAAAAATACTGGTGAAAAATAGCGCGCTCATTAGGGGTACAGTGACATCTGCGACTGCTGCGCCCGAAAGTCTTCGAAGAACGTAGAAAAGGTTCTTGGATGAAGGGAACAAAGAGGACAGGTTTATTAAAGTAATGGCGGATCATTTTAATATTGCAATGAAAGCGCACGCCATTTGCTATCTTCGAAACTTAATAACTTTTTATCAAGGGTATCCTATCCTTTTCTACTTAATTTGAAATCTTTTCCGTAATTTCCATTTCAATTATATGTAAATTATTTAAACTTTTAGTGTCACTATGAATACTAATATGATGTTATTAACTGGAATAAAGTTAAATTGTACATGTCATTTTTTTATTTATTTTTTTATATTTTTTAAGTATTTATTTTTTCGATATATTTATGTAAGATTAATGACTACACTTTTATATTTTCTAAATTAGTTACTTGCGATCATTCATATTTTTCTCTTTCCCAATATTTACATTGTATATGTATTCTTTTATTCATACGTGCAACTTCCTCATTCAAATTTCCCGCTATTTGGATTCAAATTTCCCGCCAATTCTATTCAAATTTCCCGCGTTTGATATAGATGACGCTAAACATCAATTTAAAAGATTTCAGTCATAATATGGCGCAGAATAGAGCAAGCCGGTTTGAAAATAATATGATATTGTTAATAGTAGATGTATAAGTAACATAAATTTGACGTAAAAATTAATATATCATTAACTTAGATAATTTATACAAAAATGTGTGACGGTAATCTATTTATATTTATATAAAAATATAACCTATTATAACATTTGAAACTGTTCAATTTTCAAGACCTAAATCTATTATTTTCAGAAGAGGTAATACGTCGGAGATTGCTCATAGATGGAGATGGTACTGGAGATGATAGAAGAATAAATATGCTTTTGAAATCATTTATTAAATGGGCAAATTCGTCAGATGTAGACAATACATTGCATGAAAGAATGTTGTCGCAATTGGCTCAGTGTGAATTTGCACAGAGAAAGTCTAGATTAGTCTCAAATATGAGCCAAGAAGAATTAAAAAATTATGAAAAATTATCTAAGGAAATTGAAGTACAGATAGAAGAAGCTAAAAAAGACATAGAAAAAACAAAAGCAGAATTACAGGAAGCAAAACGTGTAAGGAAAAATAGGATTGAATATGATGTATTAGCAAAAGTTATTAATGAACAACCGGACAGAGTGGAAACAAATTTAAAGCTTGCTACACTGCGTGAGGAATTAGGAAAATTAAAGGTAAAAATAATTTACATTGTAAAAAAGTACAACTTGTATTTGTGTGTACCACAAATATAATCTATGAATATTTTGGTACGTAGGAAAAGTCTGAACAATTAGAACACAAACTGGAAATGAGACGTAAACAGTTTCATGTTTTGATATCCTCCATACATTCTTTACAAGGAATGCTAGATGAGTGTGACGAAGAAATAATGGATGTAAGTTTAGAAAATTATGAAGATGTAGATACTTCAGTATCTATTAAAACTGAGGCATCTTGAAACAAGATGATAAATAAATTTTTATGTATTGTATAAAGATATTAGTAATTTTTATAAATATCACAAAGCTTAATTTTTTTATTATATTTTGTATGTACTGTACAACTCCTGAGTTCTTTTTAAGATATGAAAAAAGGTGTATATTAAAGACTGTGTAAAGTATACAAATATATTATCCAAATTTCAGTTTTAATTTACTAGTTTTAGGAACATGCCTAATAGTTAAAGACAATCTAACACCTCGCTTTAATATCTGCTCTTCTTTAAATTCTTCTCCACATATGCTTAAATTTTTTATAATTGATCCTGAAATAACATCGGTATCTTTTTCTGCAATGGAATGTAAATAATGATGATACAGATCTCCTTGCAGAATAAGCAAACTTCTGCGTTCTAATAGAAAGCTAAATTCTAAGTTTAGTTCATGTTGCTGAAAAAAAATCATTAGTTATTTATAATATTTAAATATGACAATGTAATAGTTATAATAAAGAGTAGAACCTGTGTGCTGTCAAGTCGTTTATAAAAGTCAAGAAGTGTATGAGATCCACAGCTAATAGTTGTTACAATAGGATGGAAGAGTGGACCATCTGAATGTGCCTAATAATTAATATTATATTAATATTATATTTTGTATTGACTGCTTTATAATTATACATAATCAGACATATACCATTATTCCCTGACCAGGTAAATATTCATTGATCAGAACATGATTAGGTAACTTTTCTTTCTCAAATATATTACAGGATGAAATTTTATTTACATATTTCATTAGCCACTGAAAATTAGAGATATATTTGTACTACTTTATATTAATATTATTTGAAATACACTATTATAAAAAACTTACACTTGGTATTTCTTCTGCTATCATACCTTTGGGATGTGGAATGCCACCCCAATTTTGTAATCTTCGATGACTTAGCTGTGTCCACTTTGGTAAAGGTGCATTATTAACACATCTTAATATTTCTTCTTCTTCCTCCGGTGTAATAAAATTTGGTACATACATAGCTAACTTGGGCACCTATAACAAATTGAATACTATAGTTTTTAACATAAAGATTAAACATAACCTTAGATAAAAATAATAATTGTATTAAAATAAACCTTAGGAATCACGTTGTTAGGAAAAACACAATTGTATTCTTCCATTTTGTGGTAAAACTAATAAAGATGTCACAAAGATAATAATAAAGAATGATTTTTTATTTATATAATAATAAATATTTCAGTACACTATTTTTACGCATGTTTTTATGAGCATGCATTCCTGAAAATGAAATTATAAATTAATCGAAAAGCTTTTGTTTCACTATTACATATTCAATGCAAGCGTCTATACCATTTTATGATAATTGTAAGTTTTCAAAAACTATTAAATTAATCTTCTCTCATATCACTATTTGTTGGACAATAAATTAGAAATTGCATTGTGCATAAGGTATTTCGTCTTTTTTCATACAATATTAGAAAGCGTTTTTTGTTAAACATGTAATTGCAAACGATTCGAATCGGTTAAAGTTATGTTTGCATAAAATCAATCAATTTATGGAAGGGAACATCCTTAGCGCGACTGTACGTAACACGCAAATATTTAAACACAGAATTATTTAAAGACAATATTTGATGTTGCTAGTGTTGTACAGTTATTTAAATTAATAAAGAAAGAGAATGGATAAGAGTCAGACAACAGATAAAATGGATAACAAGGAATTAAAACTTATTCATCAGGTATATTCTGAAAATTACTGTAATTATTATATTATAAATTTCCACAAAGTAATTGATATTTTAATTATTTAAAGAAAACATATATAGTTTCTTATAGATCACAATTTTGAAAATACTGCTGATGCATTAATGATAGAAGCTGCGATAAAAGGCCATAAAAATTTGGAAATTCAAAATGTGACTAATGCAGTCAATTTTGAAAATATGATGTTAAGTTATAAGACAGGAGATTGGAAAACATTTTTTAAAGTAATGTATAAGTACATGTTCACTTAGAAATAATATCATTTAAATACATCTGCTGTTTTTAGCTGTGGAATTCATTGATACCCGAAGATGTTAAACAGACAAGAGATTATAAAATTTTGATGTTGAATTTACACATATATTTTGCAATGTTACCTAAACGTATGTTGCTTTTACATTCTTATAAAGATAAAGGTAAGATAGCAGAATGTACTTTAAATAATTTTAAGAAGGACTATAATGTTTACTCTTTGTTTTTATCTAGATCAAAATTATCCAACTGATTCTATAATACCCTTGAATCAACAAGATTTTGAACAAAAAGAGGTAATTTCAATAATGTCAAATTAATTTTTTTTCATTTATTATATTTATTTTATTTTAAATTATGTATTTTATTAGAATTCTAAGTTTAATAACTGGAAAAAAGCAGCTATGACTGATTTGAAATTAATAACACACAGCATGTTATCACTGACATAGAGAAGAATATGAATGAGAGTATGGAACAGTTATGTTCATTTCTGAATACATCCGGTAAAGAGTTAGAAAATGATACCAAACTAAGGCCTTTCTTTGCATTACCATTTATCGAAGATCCATATGCAGAACCAATTATTTCTAAAATATTTGAGAAGAGCTGGACAGATGAATTGAGTGAAAATATACAACTATTTCTTGATAAATACAAAGTAGTAAGTGAAAGAAAATACATAAATACATGTATATAAAATAATTCATAAAAATTTATATCATTTTAAGAGTTTTAGTGGTACAAAATGCAATGATGATGGTTTGAATCAATTTCCTTCAGATCAAGAATATCTATCACAAGAATTGAAAAAAGATGTATCTCCAGACAAAGTAATTAGAAACAACAATGTACCAATCATCCCAAATGATAGAAACATTCCAATATTCTTAGAAGATGGTGAAATTGGAGAACAGTATAGCTTATGCAGTGATTCAAATTATAATTACAAGTCAAAGTAAAAAATATTGTCAATATTGTGATAATATAATATCCCGTCAGTCAAGTAAACCTAATAGCATTTAATGATTTTTTTCAGAAGCATACAAACTGCGTCTGTGAATTCCTCTTCAGAAGAAATGCATTCATCATTTAATAACAAAAGCAACAAAAAGTTAATGCAATATATTCAGGAATTAGCCATAACACGATCTCATTTATGTACCGTTCGTTCTAATTATGAAAAACTAAAGCTGAGATTTCATAAATTACACGCTGATTATCATAAATTGATGAGCATTGCAAGAGTATTAACAACTTCTTTAGAAAATTCGGTGAAAGGACAGTCAATTAATTTCCAAACCATGTTAGAGACATGTATACAAATTTTTCCAGATTTGTTTAATCAAAATATACGAGAAAGTTCACATGTAAGCAATAGGTTTTATGTATATGTAGAAGATTATGCTGGTTTAAATGATGATATTATAATACTTTTCATGTATATGTACAGTGTTCTTCAGAATTGTTGTTAGACAGATCTCGTTCTGACATCAAAATTAGTGAACATTCTATGTCGTACAGTATATCTGTTCCTCCAAAATTATTAGATTTCAAAAAGATCAAATTACATTTAATCAATGGAAGTATTAAAGTTAAATTATTTCTTCTGCAAGCATTGAGAAGGGTAAGCTAATAAATACTTGTGCATGTTGTTAAATTTATAAAGCTTTAGTACCGAAATATAAATTGTCTGCAGAAAATAACATTTGGTCAACCTGGAGAAAGGGATGAGACCTTACATGAGTACATAAGTAAAGATTTGTTGGGTCTTCATAGTCAAATTGCCAACTACAAAGGCAAATCAATTTTGCCACATTTATTAACGCCCGAAAATTTTATTATACCTCACCCCTTGCAGCAGTCAGTTACAAGATTATTAAATACTTTAGCTTCGTTCAGATGTGGAAGAGATTATTTGTCATTTGATTCCACTGTTGTTGATATGGTACTAATATTATTTTAGTAATTCATACAATCCCTAAGTTAGTTCTGCAATGTATAATATAATTAACATAATAAATGTTTTAGGTATATAAATGTCTAAATAATATCTGTGATAATAATATAGATACAGTGACTTGTAATATGATGATTGCAATGCTGCAGAAGTTATCATTACGGAAACAACAAAGATTATATATGATCGAAAATGGATTAGTAGAATGGTTGATTCATCATTTGCATAATCAATGCCGAATCATGGATTCTTATCGATTAGAGTATGCTACAGCTCTCTTAATGAACTTATCATTACATCAAGTAGCTCAAAGGCGGGCATCTGCAATGGCGTCTTTACTTATTTCAACGTTAATTTCTTTGCTATTAATGGATCATACATCGGCATTGCCTTATATTAATGGAGCATTAAATAATTTTCTGACAAACTATACAATTAATGAAGAAGCTAAAAGGATGAAATTTTCATCTATGTTAGAACAGTATAGTAAATATAAAACTGGAGAAATAAGGTAAAATAAATTATTTTGCACTAACTGTATAAAAATTCTCAAACTAAAAATGGTATATTAAAATGTGTAATAGGAAACATTTAGATCATATTTTAAAGATACATAAAGGTGAAATTACTATTGTAACAGAAGCTGAAGACATGGCGGATAACGATAATGTAGGTAATAATTTATAACATATGTTGCTCCTTATCGATAAAAAATTATTTATTCCTCAGGAAGAATTTGATGTACTAGATAGTCAAATAGAAGAAAATGATCCGGTAAAGAATAACTATGGAGAATTATGTGGGGAAGCGTTGCTTGCATCTTGTTACACGATAATACGGAAAGTAATTCAGCGAAAAGAAACGAATACGGAAGTATCGTCAGTTACAAAATTTAAGACTGACACAGATGAACCTATTTTACACACTAGTCAACAAGTTAAAAATTTATATTCTGAACATGAAACAGTATTACCGGAAGAAAATTGTCTAAGGTATTACTATGATGCTTTTATTGAAGTTTATTTCTTTACAGATTCATTTAAATCCATTTAATTTATAAATAGAAAACACGTGAGAAGCAAACATAATATTATGGTAGTACAAGATTTTAAAAGAACAGTATTATATCCAAATTTACAGTCGCATGAAACTAGGTTAATTTCTTCCTCGTCTAAGGTACTTAATGAGAAAATAATACGTCATTATTATAATAATATGCTATTGCTTAAATCACATTTTTAAGGAGCACGTTTCTAAGCAAATTACGACTAGAAAGTGGAAGGTTTCTTCTAATGCTTTAAGGAGTTCTAAATCATTAATTGAAAATTGTAGTCAAAGTGACTCAGAGATTCAATTTGAACCGAAATTGCAGAAGCATCATAAAAAAAATGCATTAAATGATCAAAATTCAGACGACGCGCAATTACGGATAATAAAAGATAACAGAGATTCTGTCAATGAATTATTTAATGGAAGTGCTGTATATTTGTTTGAAAATCAATGTTCGAAGTTCGTTATTGTTTTGTAAAAAATATTAGAAGATTATATTGTTTTAACATTACATTATTCTCGCAATTAACAGTAAAGTTAACACAAAGCTTTTGTACAGGCAAAACAGTAAAATGACTGTAACATCTTCTGTGTTCCTAGCAGTTGGAAGTGAAGCTGAATCAACAGGTAAGAATCAATGACATTGGTTTTTATGTTGCTCCTCTTTCATCAAAACAGGTACACAGTATCTAATTACTAGTTCAAATGATTATACGTCCAGATGTCTAAGCCTGTTTGACAAGTAAGGCATAGTTCAAGTACTGTGTAGTGAAAGCTCTATAACTTTCACCTAAACGCATGTTTTGTCGTGATCTTGGAAAAATTAGAGCAAGTGAATGAAAGTGATAGGGTCAAATAGAACTTGTAATGTCAAGTACGTGATTAATCTATTTAAAAAATTATTACTTTTTTCAGTCATGGGAAAGTTGAGCAGCATTGCATCATTGTGAGTCAAGATTTCAATGTTCAATTGCACTTTATGATTTTGTACATAGTTATGCACCACTGTCCATTTTATACTGGTATTAAAATCTTTTTATACTGTAAACTTTCAAATAAATTATATATTTTATTTGACTATTATTATACTATTCTTTCAAGCTAAATTATTACTCAGAATCATACATCTTTTTATAGGAACAGTAATGGAAATGAAACTAAAAATCATTCAAGGACACAAGAAACAGATCTCGATTCGGAAGAAGCATTCTTATCTAAGCCAAAACTTCCACGAACTCCACCGTGATTAAAATTAAGTCTTTGAGAGAAGAATAAATGCTTCATATGACTTTTAAATAATTTTATTTTAAATAACAATAATAACAATCGTGTCTTCAATTAATTTTAAATATTTCATACAATAAATATATACAAAACGTAACAAATGTCTCATCATCGCACTCATCTCACGTAAAATATTAATAATAACCAACATATGGGCTAGTATGTGCAGGTACTACATAGTTACTACTCCGGTACCTCCTTAACAAAGGACTATCAGCATAGCTACTACCACCTAAACTACTGTGTAAATTTGACATTGGAGAATAACCAGCAGGAGAGCCACTGGAGTAGCTCATAAAACTCGGTTTACTTTTATAATTTCCAATAATTTTACTGAGATACGAAGGTCCTGGAAGATACGCTTGACTACCGTAACTTGGTCTGGTTTCTTTAAACGGTACCAATTTCCCACCACCTTTACCATAATTGCCAAGCAGATAATCAACATCTGGCTCTTTGGAAAGATAATTTAAACTTCCACTAGGAGTGTATTCGCCCATATACTTATTGTATTTACTGTATTTTCCTGAACTATAAGGACCAGCGCTACCTCTCGTGAAGGGGCTACTTGGAGAGCTTGACAGATATACATGTGATCCCATGGCCCCATGGTTTCCTCTCACATATCGCGTTTCAGAGTGAAACGGATGCATATCATTCATGAACTTACTACCTCCGCCTATTCCGAACATACTATCCTTCTGTTTGCCATAGGGATAGTCAGTAGAACCACGGAATGAATTTGAAGGCTCTCTACTAAAGACTTGATCACCATCCATGTATTCTCTTTGCGATGTATGACCTCTGAAGGCATCGCCAGAGTACTCCTTAAAGGACGGAGCTTCAGCACCTAATTCAGAGTACGCTGCTGTACTAGAAGCACCGGAAAGATTATCACCGAATCTCATGTAGGCAGAAGTCTTTGGTTTACTGGCGAATTGAGCGTAGTCAGAACCCGCTTGATCGGTGCCCTGAGTGTAAGTCTCAAAAGTGGAATCACCGTTACCGCTGCTACTTGTATAAGTCTCGAAAGTGGACTGTGCCGGATTGCTCACGAGGTAGGGGCTGCTAGCAAGACTATCGCGCGCGTTACTCGAGTACTCTGAATAGCCAGCGTTATGGGAGCTTGGAGAAAATGCGTTGTAAGAACTGCTTCTTAAACTTTCTTCGAGATTTCCTTGGTTCCTGCTAGTGGTCAACGATTGTCCATTACTCCCCCCTGTGTAGTAGTCCACGTTTTCTCTGTGACCCTCTTTGCTTGCCATGTAGGCTCCATTGAGGAGGTTGCTGTTGTACTCGTACCCATTGTTGTCTGCATTAAGAGTATAGGCTGTAATAAGCACTCTTTTTAAAAAATGGCTAGATAAATTGTTGGTAAATACTTATAAATTACAGACATAAATTATAAACCTTATTAATAAAAACAAATTAATGCATCTTCACAATTTATCTTCTAATGATTTTCAGAAAAGAAATGCACTTAATATACATACTGGTGGCTGCAGGTTCCGCGCGTGCTAGTAGGATGCAGCCGAGGATTACTGCGCTCTAAAAGTAGAACAGTTTCACCATAAATTAACAATCGCGATGTAGATGATCTTTCCAATTAAATCACGGAACATTATCACGCTAATTACGAGTTAACTGAACCGTGACCTTAGTACAAAGCGTTAATAGCACAGTTTTAATATCCTGGGAAGAGACGAGGTTCTCATAGATGATCCAAATTTTTGTAAGCAAAAAAAAGACTAAATAATATCACATTACAAATATAATGGAAGTAAATTCAAGTTTCGAGGATGATAAAAGAAGAAACCTCTTTAATAATTAATTCTAATAATAGATATGGATGTATGAAATGTACTCAAATGTTGAAGAAATGTTAACTTCGTTACTCACGAGTGAAATGATTTTCCCCATGGCAAGGGTTGACCGGTTCTGTTTTGTTTAGCAACCCTGATGTCTCTCAATCAAATTGAAACTACACACATACTGGCACGTGAATCGGCTCCTTACTGTTTTATACTCCTAGGAATCCCTCCTCGCTCACAAAAAGGTAAAAGCGATCTTGATGTGCACATACTGATAGGACATTGGTTGGTATCCGACCATACAGAGCAGGGAGAAAGAGTCAACCTGATTTAACTCTTCACTTTTACGGGGAAAGCAATGGGTCAGTGTGACTGGCTATCCAGTGAACTATGAGTAGTATGACCTACCTAGCGTAATTAGACTTTTTAATATATATATTAGATTCAGAGAAAGGTCATATTTTATCAAGTGCCACCCTTGTTCCTATCGATTTACGCACATAGTAATAGTTAATAACAAAGTTTGTATTAAGTATAAAAGTATAGCGTCTTTGTTTGGGACATCCTGTATGAAAACTGTAATTTAATGGAATTAATCTTCCTGACACTAATACGAGTCATTACAAAACTGTATTGTATATTTCCATAATTATATATCATTTAGAAATCATCCATGAATGAAGTCTGAAGACTGCTTTTATTTTATTTTAATTAGCACGATGGAAGGATTTCAGTGTACCCGATGCAACGCAGGCTTTCGTAAAAATACTGTCCTGATTTCTATGCATTACCATTGCCAAGGTTAACATATATTTGTTACGGTGGATGGATAACTTTCCTTCGGTAAGGCTCGAGAGAGGAAAAAGAACAATGTTACGTCTGCGTTCAGACTATGAATACGATAATCAGAAACGATAATCTAATTGTAAGTGTGACGGGTTACAATTTCTTAAGATCTCATTGAATGATATGTATGCAGTTATTTTGCAGAAAGTGTCTCAGTAGATACGCAGCATTTCTTTTATCGCTGATAACAAATTCTTTAAATTATCGTACTACATTAAATTTATCTCGCTGATGAGTCACAAGCTAACTCATAAGTTGATGGAAAATAAGCGTTGAATATGTTAATACTCGAACAATATGTTCACATGTTCTGAGTACATGAATAAAACATCGCGTTAATAAATAGCATTTTAAATTCCGTTTAATACATGCGTTTAAAGTTAAATAATCGTTGCACAAGATCATTGTTCCAGCAACGGTTAACTGTATCCTGTATCAACGCAAGCACGCGATCTTTTTGCGATCGCAGGAATCTCGAGAAGAACCTACTTAAGGACGTGCTTTTATTTTAAAGTAGGAGCATAGAAAATGCTCACAAATACCTCTGTACCAGGATCGAAATGCTTAAACATCAAGAATACTTCGCTCGGTTTATATCCTGCATAAAATGCACGAGTTTCTTGAATACCAATTGCTTTCCTTCAAAAGAAAGTTTCTCGAAACTCCCTTAAGCATCTCGACGGTTCAGATTTAATCATAATGCTATTTATTGCCTTGTTAAAATGGATTTCATCTGTTCCATTTTCTTCTTAATACAGGTGGCCAAATATTGCTGACGTTATACCGCTAAGTATTACAAAGACGAAGTAGGTGTTCTCTCATCTTTCTATCGAATAAGCAATTAAGTGCATCATGAGATGGATTCTTCCTATATCGACAGTGCACAGAAACGATTACACGCTGCGTTGTGACACGAAAACCGGAATGACATTGCTGTATCCTTGTCATTATCTTCTGCAATGCTTTCTACTTTCCGCACACATATGAAGTGCAATTGCATTCATTGAAACGTACAACCGTGCACTTGAATCAGCTTGAATTTCCAATAGGTTAATAGCGAAATCTATATAAGATGCTTATCGCTCATTTCCGTTGTAAAACAACGTCTTAAAACGTGCACGATGTATCAACTACCTTAAAAGTATCATACATCATTTCCTCAAAATCAGTTCCGTGGTGAACACCGAGAATTAAAACGACGGAACTGCGTTGGAAACCTTGCGAAAAAGAAAGCAAAAGTAGTAGGCATCTTCTATAACGGTCACGATAACTCCACGAGTCCCTATTTGATCCTGTGTATTTCCGACAGACGTATTGTACATTATTTTCCTGAAATTAAGATGCAAATTGTACTTTTCTAACAGATAATTAAGCACGTGTCGTATGGTATATTCAATGCAAGGCATTAGTATACTACGAAGAAAGTAAAATGAAAATGGAAAGTAGACGTTAAACTAATGCCAAGTAGACGCTTCTTTGATGTTGCTGCATATCAAACATTTTGCGTTCTGTGAACGACACTAAACATGCGTGCGGTGTTCTGCATCATCAATAAACTTCTTCACCCAAGGTCAGCTCGTATTACGCATTCTAAGCTACGAGTAACAAACATAAAAATTAGTATTTTCGATACATTCATCATTATACAGTTATGAGGTTATAAATAATAAAATAGTTTCAGCTCAGTTCCTACACTTTCTTCAATAATCAGTGTGAACGGAAAGGAAGAAATGTCTATCGTGAAGTCCCTGAAAAGAAATGCTGCACGTTTAATAAAAAGGGATACGTAGGATTTCTGGCGCGAAAGTGGTCAAGATATGTAGTAATACTTGTTCTGTCACAAACAATTCTGCTGCACTGATATTTCTTTGACCTGAACGCTTTTAAAATGGCAATTCCAATCATATTCGATTTCTCAATAATGAAAGAGAATGGATTCGTAAAAGATTTTCTTCTTTCCGCGCCTCTAAAATGGAACCTGTGCCAACTGCGAAACGCAAGCGCATTGTATTCTGGTATTGCGCCAATTGAAGAAACATTCAATTCCATTTGTAAATTCAGTTTCTAAATTTCTGAATTTAAGTTTAAAGTTTCTAAATTTCTAACCTGTAAAATTTAAACACTTGTAAAATTGAAAATTGGAAGTCCGTAAATTTAGAATCTTTAGATTTTTCAATTAGTATGTGTGCATGAATAAGACAATCATATTTGGCCATTATCTACAATCTGTTATTTGGTACATTTTGTGTACATGTAATTGTTGCAAGATATGTCAAACGATGAGATCATATGTGCAATGAGAGACCATACTCAACTTACTGCACATTTTCATTCGTTTTGCGCATATCAATTTGAATTGGTTCGTAGATCATAGGCGTTTGCGACTTTTATGATGTCGTACGTATACACCTAGTGATCTGTTATTTCAGCATGACTTATTTCTGTATGTATGTACAAATTTGAGATTTATAAAATTGGTGATTTAAAAAGTTGAGAATTTAGAGATTCAACGATCTGATAAAAGTCGAATATAGCTGATGAGTCATTATGTTTATCCTACATCATAATCTCTTCTCTTTATTCACATATTTTTATCCGCCGTGTAAATGGTGAACAACGTAGGAAGCATATGAAGGTGGGGCAACAATAATTGGTGGGGAGCCTATTGAAGTTAGCTGTGTTGCGCAAATTGGGTATGATCTCTCGCTGAACGGAGTATAGGAAATATAACCTAAATTGTAAATTGAAAGATTCAAACCTCATCATATCTTTTACTCCCTTGTCGTTAATTACAGTTGTTTCTTACAAAAGTAATACGACCCAATAAAACCATCAACAATGTCTTTCAGTGAGTATATTAAATGTCAATATGTAAATTTTGTGTAATTTATTCTGACACATGCATACTATACATACATGTACACTTACACATCTTAACAGAGGTACACAAATATTTAACTATATAGAAGATGACATTTCTTTTATAATGATTTTATATTTAATGTGCATGAATCATCATTTGTATTATGAATCTACAAAATTCTTTAAAATGAAATAATGATTATATTTTAAGTTAAGCTCATTACTTCGGACACTTTGGAATATCGTTATTTTCCCATCACGAAATCCCGTTTCGATTTAAACATACAAGCTGCTCATGATGCAAGAATTTCTTTGCGTACCCATTTGGGTGACGATTCTAATGTATATGAGGTACAGTTCTGAAGTTTTAAGTTATTTATGATTTCCTCGCATTTAGAACTAGATATATTTTATTATTATAGATTATTATTGGAGGATGTGAAAACACAATATCAGCTATAAAAAGAAATAATGAAGAATCTGATGTTGCAGAAGCTGAAACAAGGAACATATTAAGTGATGAGCATATGTGTAATTTTTGGATACAGTAAGAACTAATTTTATATAATTCCAATGATGACCAATAGATTGATGATCTCATATTCAACAGGTGGTCATGTGATGGATTATTAAATGTTGGTAATGGAGATGGAGTGTTCCTAAGTTACAAAGACAAAAATCCATTTGTTATAAATTACATAGGAATCAGTACAGCATGTGGTGCTATTGGTGAATTCTTAATAGAAGGTATGCTTTCAAATGTTATGACATGGAAAAGCTTCAGTTACTTAGCTATCTCTTTCAGAATCAAGTTGCACATCTACAGTTATTAGACAACAGTTAATGGATACAGCCCATTTCTGGGTAGATTATAATGAATCAACTGGTCTTCCACCAAATGCTACAATAGCTTCTGAAGATGATTTGTATATAGGTCGTGCTCATCATAGAGATTCTGTTACACCTGGAGGTGTTAAAAATAATGTATGCACTATTGCATGGGGTGGAGCTGCTTATGACAAAAAGGAATTTCAAGTATTATGTTGTAAAGATGTAAGTTGGGTGAAGTCATGGTCAGGTAGTGTTCCATTACATGCACTTCCTGCTGGTGAAAGCGAAGATGGATATGCTCTTTTCATAGGCAGAGTTTTAGACGAAGGCATATATTATATAGGCAAGATCCAACCAAACCATCAAACATGTTACATACCTATTGATGGTGAAGAAGCAGGTTTCACGTCATATGAAACTCTGGTTGTTTGCGATTATTACGCTGCAGAACATATTGAGAGATAAAATGTTCTCGGAAAAAAGAGATATTTATTTTTCATATAAAAAATATTTTTTTATATCGCATATGTTTAAACCAATTCAGTAAAACGTGTACATTAAAATGAAGTCATGAATAGTATTACAATGATAGTTAAGTTATATTACGAGCGAGGTATAGAATAGACCAATCGTGATACAGAATGTGATATACTGACATCGCCCAAAACCTCGTCTGTGCCAGTACTTTTGTTACGCACTCTACGCTTAATGATTTGTACGTACAATGGATTATAATGAATTTAGAAACTGTATTGGATGAAATGGACAACGTTAATCAGGTAATTAATTTAGGAAATCGGTGTCACGAATGAGATTATACATGCAATATCATAGCTGTGCCGTCAATGTATTTTTTGATTCTAAAATATGAATGTTTTTACGATAGATCCATTAAAGAAACCTTTAATGACCTCATTTCCTGAAAATGATTTTTGGCGACTCGAACGAAAAATTTGTACCATACAATGTTGTTTTCTATATTACCGGCGAGACACAGTACAGTGTGCGAACTGTTCTGCATCTTCGGATTCACGGAATGTATTACAAACAGCATAAAATCAATATTAATAAACATGTATAGTGAATATATAGCATATTAATCAATAAAATCAATAATAATTAAGTTTAAAAAAAAAAAAATTGAACAAGTGGCGCCATCTCGCCGGCGAACAGGGTGAACTACACACTTTTGAAACTGTAGTTTCATTAGTTCCTATACACTCCCGCTATATGGCGCTACATGTATCGTTTTTTGGCCAGTTCCAAAAGTGTGTAATTCACCCCGTTCGCCGGAGAGATGGCGCCACTTGTTCCATTTTTGTAAAAACTATTGATTTTGAAAATATGCAAACTTTTAAAAATAAGCATTTATTTCAGAAAATTGCATTATTTATCGGTCTTGTAAATTAGGCACAGTGTGTGCCAATATTCAAAAGTATAGAGGATGGTGGGGTCCCTTTGCATCGGTCGCCATTTTCCCTAGGAAAGCAAAATTTGCACTTGAGTATACTGTTCCTTGCTTTAGAATAAAATATTTATATAATGTTCAGTGTCATAGCATATAAATGATCGTTGCAAGCTCTATGAAGCAACGGTAATCGTCGATGATGCATGAGTTACGTTTCCACGTGTGTTATAATTCTAAGTTTAATCGATCAGAAAATATGTGTGTTTGGTACAAAGAACATATCCTTATCGGTCCAGTGACCGATAAATACTTGGCAAGCAAACAGAAGTCTTGTTAAATAAAACTTATTCAAAAGATTATAATAAATAATCTTAAAAGCAATATGTGAATATGAAATTTTATATATCACAATGGTCTAATTTTTGTGTGTGATAATACAAACACTCGAACAGAATATTAAACGTATCGATGCAGCGGTAATTTTAAAATATGTAAAATGTAATAAGACTTGCATTAATTTTATTAATTAATCAATTGTAAATTAAATACAATAATGAAAAATATATAAATGTTTTACTCGTTTTCTTGAAGTAGGACAATGCTATTGCATTGTTAAATCTTTTTAAGATTGTTCAATGAAAAGTTTACATACTTTTAAACTTAATATATTCTACTTACATACCTATTATTAGGCATGGAAGTTGTTTGGAAGAGTATAAAATTTAAATATATATTTGCTTGCATTTTGATCACTTTTATTATTTCATGTTTGATAAGTATTGCACCTATAAGCATTGGTAAGGGTTTGTATTCTTTATTTGTTAACTGTTTCAAGATCAATGCTTTAAGATTTCATACTTTTAGATGAATGCAAATGTGAAATAACTACTCAGCCAAGTCATTATAATAATAAACAAGGAAATAGTGATGTTAAAACTTATAGAAAGTCAGAACATCGTTTGGCTGTACTTGTGCCATTTCGAGATCGTTTTGAAGAATTATTAATCTTTGCTCCACATATGAAAAAATTTTTAGATAAACAAACTATAGATTACCATATATTTATACTTAATCAGGTACTATTTTACTCTGATGTGATTATTAATCAATTTTAGAAAGTGAATAATATTTAATTATAATAATATCTCTGTTTTTATAGGTTGATAGGTTTAGATTCAACCGAGCCTCTCTTATAAATGTAGGCTTCCTTGAAATTAGCAAAGCTTTTGATTATATAGCTATACATGATGTAGACTTATTACCAGTCAACGATGAACTATCGTATTCTTTTCCTAACAAGGGTCCTCATCATGTATCTTCTCCAGAATTGCATCCTCGATATCATTACCCAACATTTATTGGAGGAATATTACTAATTAAAAGGTTCTTTAATAGTGTTGATGATACAAACTATCTAATGAATAATAGTAATAATAGCAATTAAAATTATTTTTATAGAGATCATTTTATACAAGTAAATGGAATGTCTAACAAATATTGGGGATGGGGTCTTGAAGATGACGAATTCTATGTTAGGTTGAAAGAAGCTGGATTAATAGTCTCAAGGCCACAAAATATATCTACTGGGACACATAATACATTCAAGTAAGATATATTATTTACGTATATTATAAATAAAAATTAAATACAAAATATGCATAATAATTATCAAGTAATGAGTTTATAATACTCATTTGATATAAGTAAATTAATTACATCAATTTCAGACATATACACGATAGAAATCATCGGAAACGGGATATGATCAAATGTTATAATCAACGTGAAGTTACTAGAAAGCGAGATCGCCAGACTGGTTTAAATAATGTATCTTATAAAATATTAGGTACAATTAAAATGACTATAGGGGACACTTCACTAACCGTCCTTAATATTTCTCTAATGTGTGATAAGTTGAATACACCTTGGTGTGAATGTGATAAAGTAGTTGGATCTAAGGATGGAAAGTCTAAGGAGAAAAAAAAGGTCAATAATAACAAATCTGCCACTGGATTGTAATTATGCAAACAAAAGTGTATTGAAAGATAAAAATATATGTATATATATATATATATATACACACACATATAAATTCTATCATATTTACTTCATAGTTTTCTTTACCTCTTTTGCTTTGCATATATTTAATGAAGCAAATAAAACAATTTTTGTAACTTAGTATACTTTTACTGGATTACGTATGTGTTAATAATCTGATTTGATATATTATAAATATTTTGAGTAATAGGTGCATTGAATAATTTCATTTATGCACAGAAGCATCATTACATTACTAATTTTTGATAATTGATTTCAACATAATCTATTTAATGGATGATTTCCGTATTTTAGTATTAAAATGTACATGTTATTTCATTAAGCAGAATTTCATATGGATATTTTAAATCAGGCATAGGCACAGAAATGCCGTTGAGCGGTTTCTACGTCAGACTTATTCGAGAGGTTCGATTCTACTCTACTAGCAGCCATTTATACGTGATGTCGGAGGTATTGAAGGTATGAACGGTATGAATGAGATGGAAGAATATTATTACAGAATACAACGGATATAAAGCATACAAAAATTAAACTATGTGACCTTACGAAATTTAGTGGGAAATAGCATCTTTGCTTGTGAAGTTTATGCAAGTTCGCCGCCAAGTTCCGGCCTGATATACTACTTGCTACCCATGCCTGTTTTAAACCATATAAAAGTGTTATATAAAAATCGTTAATGAAACATGATTTAATACTGTAACCGACTAATTAAAGTAATCGTTTACATTACACATATAATAACGTATATACATATATTTACAATTAAGCTGAAAACACGAGATACCATTGTACAATGTACATAATTGTTACTAGTATAATGGTAAATATTGTACAACGATGCAAGGAAATCTAAGTATTTATGATCTTTAATATTACATTTTCTAAATTGTAAAAAGCAATATCGTAAAAATACAAAATTATGGCTACATAACTGCATTAAGTTGCAAAATGAAATGTTCTCTCAGTTCGTTTGTACTAAAATCATCACCATCATTATTTTCATCGAAAATATCTTGTACAGTTCCTGTCACAGTTTCTGCACCTTCATACTCAGTTGTTTTAATTACTGAGTCAGGAAGTTCTATGTTCTTATCATCGATTTCGGATTCATTATTTATATCATGCGATTTTTCTATTTTTATACTAAATTTTGTTGTAGAATTTTGTGTTTCGTCTAAATCGCTTTTATTACGATCCGTGAAATCTTCATTTAGGACTTCTTTTCGTAAAGCAGGCAATGGTGGTAATGGAAAACCATAAGAAAGTAATTTATCATAACCATTTCTCCCACAAACTTTCCTAATATCAGCTGCCATGCTTAAGGCTTTTCCTGAAAATTCTTGTTTACAACTATCAATTAATATTTCGTTAAACTTACTCATTTTTTCATCTAAAAGCTTCCTCCTTCTCATAACAGTTTGCATATTTAACATTTTTCTTCTATATGTGTTTGTGTTCTTTTCTGCTCTTTCAAGATATTTGGAAGCTTTTTCTAGCTTCCAATTCAGTTCTTTTATTCGGTTGTCTTTTTGTTTAATTTGTCCCTCAAGTTTTCTCTTTTGTTGAGATTCTAGAGTTACTGTCCTCATTAATTTCTTATTCACTTCTTCAAAATAGTTTACCCTATTTGATAAATCTTCTATCAATCTCTGTTTCGATTCTAGATTCTTTTTACTAAGCACTGAAGACTGCATATTATTTGATCTTGTATTAATTCTAGAGGTTTCCGTTTCTTTACTTTGCAATTCTTGTCCAATATTTTTAGTTCTCATATTATTTTCTAATTCTTTATAGATAATCAACTGATCAGTTAATTTAGCAATCACATTTTCTTGAATCTGTATTCTCTCTAACAAATCCTCATAATCAGAAGGAGTGCAACCAACATTATTTTCTAAAAATGTTTGGGTATTATGTGTACAATTTTGTGGAGGAGAACTGATCTTTATTTGATTTTTTTCTTCCTCGTCAGAACAAATACGTTTGAAACATGAAGAATGACATGTTATAGTATTTGGAATAGAATTTAAATTTACAAGCTGTTTTCTCTCGCAAGAATAATGTTTGACGATCGATCCGTTTTTATCCGAAGATACATAATCATCTTTTGCTAATGGACTACTGAGATCACTATAAACAATTTCTTTAGGATTTTTAGGTGATAGTACTGTAATAACAGATGTGACAAATGTATCATTTTCTTCACTTTTATAAAGAGTGCTAAATTTTTGGGGTGCTTGAGTTCCTATTGTATTACATGATAATTCTTCAATAATCTCAGTTACATCATCAGGATCACCAGTTACTTTAATAACAAATTTAGCTGTTTCCATTTCTGTATCATTTGCTTTACTTACATCATTTATTCTGTCTGGAGACAAAGATAATATGTGTCTAACTTTCCTCTCTTGTTCTATATTGTCAGATAAGTCGCTATTACTTGAAGAATTAATATCTTGATCAGAAGTACTTCTAATTGATTTTTTTATTGATTTCATTATTTCTTCTCTAGTCTTTCTTTTACGTTTCATTGCCGCTCGTATGTTTGGTATTACATGTACTTCATCTTTAGTGAAATTTTCCTCTATATCTTCTTTAAAGACTTTTTCTTCATTTTGTACAGAATTTATATCATCTGTATCATTAATTATTTTACTAATTTTTGATGCCACTTGAGATACTGACAATTTTTCATCTCCACTTTCTACACCAAAAATGATTTCAACATTTTCTTTCTTATGTCCACTTTCACTTTTCAGTGAAAAGTCATGATTTGCATTAACAGGTGAAGAACTTTTACGTTCATCATTAATAAGTTCATTATTTTCATCTACCACTTCATTATTTTTATTCTCCTTATAATTCTTAACCATTTTCATCTTTTCTTTATTTTTATAGTTTTCATCTTCAGTAGATCCACCATCACATATTTGCTTTAATTTTTCCTCTATTTCATCGTAACTATCCTCAAACACTGTATGACTCATGACTTCTGGTTTACTTTCTTCCTTCTCAGCAATGCTTGGTATCTGAATAGTTTTTGAATTATTACTCATTAAGGACAATTCAATTTCTTTTTTATCTTTATTTAATTGCATTTCAAGATTATCTTGTCTTGCTAGGTTACTAGCATCAGCAAGATTATCCTCTGCAATCATTTTAATATTTTCTTCTTGAAAAACAATCTTAGTACTTTTTTCTCCCACTTGGTCTTCTCTTTCTATACACTTATTTATAGATTTCAGATTAGTTTCAACAGATTCCATAGATGGTTCTTCAATGCCTTGAAAATCCAAATTTGTTTCTTCTAAATGTTCTACAGAGGAATTTTCTGTATCATTTTCCATATGTTCTATATAATATTCACCTTGCTTTTCTTCTTTATTATTAAATATTTTAGTCCTCTTTTTAGGAGATTTTCTGGTAGATGTTACTGTAAATATAGAAGGAACTGCATTTTTTTTTAACCTAATTCTTCCGCTTTGGCTAATAGACCACTCTTGAGGTTTAAAATGTACATGGCAAAGAAATGAATTATTTGATGGCTCCCAATCAGCTCTAGCAACACGTTCTTGCCAAATTTTTCTAAGTTTTGGATCACGAGGAAAACATTTCATAATATAACCCTTCTCGCTACGATTATTGCAGCCAATTGCTGCACAGCCTGGCATATTTAAACATCCAGAAATTATTAAGTATTCTGCAACAATAAATTCATGATACACAGACAAAGTAAAATGATTAACTCAATCTTCTTATGATACATAATAAATCTAATAAATTATAAATTATTATTTAAAAATACAATTTTGAATAGACCGAACCTTTCCTTTGGTGCTGATATCCCTGTTCTTAAGTGAAATAGTGATTGATGTAATTCAACAGTAAACATGGTAAAAACCGTACTTTTAATTGATAGGTTACGTTATGTTTTATATCAAGGAATAAGTTATAAAACTTTTTAACGTATTTTTAAAACATTTCAATTTTGTTTCACACTGTTCATAGTTTTGTTATCGGCAGCGTACGCTGTGAAAGAATCCGAAACACGCTCACCTCGTTCACAAACTTTATTCGAAATCCATTATTATACACACAAGAAAATGTGTGACTTCATGCATAAATACGGTCCATTATTTTCACTTAATTACTAATCACATACATGCAAGAGCTTTAATAGAGAAAATTAAGGCTCAAAAACAATGTACTTTTGTTGCACTGCTATTAGCAAACTATTTGCAAGTGAATTTCAAGTTCTCTATGTAATCGAAATGTGTTAACATGGCCGTCTTCAAACGACGTACATGATATGTATGAATTAATTATTACTATTTGTTATCGGATTTAATTAAATTTGGTTATATTGTTGTTTAGCTCACATTATTTACTTTTATTACACATATTATCTAATCATAGATCTGAAGTTATTATCTGATACAATCTTCACCATAGAGATAGATACTTCCTCATAAAAGAAAAGAAAACAGTGCATACAAAGTATCCTAAAAAGTTTTACAAAAGAAACATAAATATTTATATTTTATAAATTAATTAAATGATTTATATACGCGCACTTGACTCTTTTATTCAATAATATGCGATGTTTTTTACTATAACATACTGTATAAAGAATTTAGCTGTTCCTTTTATGTTGTATTATTATTAGTTCGGTATTATAGTATTATAGTATTAAAAATATGGTACACTCAAGTGCAAATCTGACTTCTCTGGGGAAAATGATATCCCATGGGAACAGGTCCCACCCGCAGTAACATGCATTATGTCTAATTTACAATATGTATTTTAGGGATCGATAAATAATGAAATTATCATAAGTACACTTTAAAAAGCAAGCTGTTATACTCCGCTCAATGTCTGGAGTGATTGGGATCTGTTCTCCTTAATTGTCTTTCTCCATATGGAATGCAGGTTTGTATTTCGTACAAAGATTGCACGAATGTAACGAAAAGGAGAATATCTAAATAACGACTGTCGGTTTTGAAGATTTGCCTGATCCTTATGCTTCGTTCTTTTGTGAAACTAAAGCTTATTACCTGACGTTTGAATCACAAATAAATATGCTACTGAGCAGCATGTAGTTTCATATGTATAATGTGTCTGTCATAAATTTGGCCTACGTTATCAAAATGTAATTTGTTATAAATTTAATTTATAGAAAGTGAGGAACGATCTGTTAACAAATATTTTGGCAAAATGGCAACTTTAAATAACGTAATGAAAGCTATAGAAGCTTTGAAATCCACTCAAGAACCAGATAGTGTTCTGTCAGATTCAAATACAAGGTATATCAATAAAATTGCCCTTTTTATTCAATATTGATTGAACAAGTTGTAAGTTATATGATACAATATGGCAATAGTTCAATGATTTTTTTGTCCCACTACCAGGAAAGATAAATTAGCATGTTGCATGACGATAGCAGAAGGGATGTGTTCACCAAGCGGCAAACTAGCATCCAAATTTCCTCAGGTTCTTAGTCTTTCAATTAAAACATTATTAAATTTGTGTAATGATGATGAATCTGATGTCAGAATGGTAGCAGATGAAACCTTAAATAAGATTATAAGGGTAAAGATCTTATATTTCATGTATTAATTATAATATTATTTATATTACTTTGTTAACAGTTCACTCATTCATTAGGCAATGACTGACAGTAATATTGTAAAGGTACAAATAGAACTTTATAATGAAATAAAAAGAAATGGACCAGCAAGAACATTGAGAGCTGCTCTTTGGAGGTTTGGACTTCTTAGCCATATGATTCGTCCTACAAGAGGAAAAGCATATGTTTCTAATTTAATACCATGCATAATTTGTATTGCACGTCGTTCCGAAGAATCTGTAATTGAAACATTATCACAATCATTACTATTGATTATGAAAGCATTAGGGCCATTTATGACAGACAATGATGTGAAGGTAATTTATAACACTAAATGTTTTCAATAATATAGTTATAAGCTTATATTTGTATTCTTATAGACACTGTTGAAAGCATTTCTTGAGAATGTATCCTCTGTACAAGCAGCATTTCGTAGGGCTGCAGCAAATATGATTCTTGCGACATGTTTGAATTGTCGTAAGCCACAATTCTTTTTAAATTATGTATTGAAACATCTTTTAGGTACATATTTCTTAAATATCGTACAAGTACAGCTAGAGTACTTTTTCAATTAAATATTACCAAATCATAGGTGTTATAGTCCCTATAAGTGAAGATGAGGGTCGTGTAGCAGCTATAATCGGTACATTTGGATGCATAAGAATAATTTTACCACACATATGTAAACTGTCAGAAGTTGAAGACGATGAATCAGTGCAAACAGATAGCTTGTTACAAGTTTATGAACTATGTTTACATTATACAAAATGGCACGTTGATCATAATGTTATAAACGCTGTTTTAGAAACTTTAACTCAGCTTTTAAAGTCTCCTCCAAAAGCTCTGGTAGCCCAGTTGTTATCAAATAAAGGTATATCACATAGCAGGATAGTATTAAACGAAGATGAATCTGTATTATCATTAAGTCAAATGAGTACTTCAAGTACTACTATAGCTTGTGGTGAAAACCCCGAATTTAATTTACATTTGCTTGATTCTGATGTCCCTGAAATAAATCCAAAGATAGAAAAATGGATATTGGATTCCGAGAGTGTACCTCCAATGGTGCAAAATTCACAATCTCAAGAAACATGTACAAGTAATATTGTAGAAATGAAGGGAAAGGTCTTGGAAAATTACAGTGGTTTGAAGATCGGAGTTATCGACAGTAAGATAAAAGTATAAAGTGTAACGAATATTTTGATGAATATCGTTTATGGTTATTTCTATTTTAGATGAGGCCATTGAAGAAGGTAGCGATGTAGGAAGCGAAATAGAAAAATCGGATAAAACGTATTCCAGTTTACAAAATGAAACGAAGGAAGTGGATTGCTCAGAAGAAATTGCATCATCTATTGCTTCTCCTAAAAAACTTTCTCTCGATTTCTCGTTGCGAGAAATTGACGTTGGAAATTTTACAGATTCTGATATACCTCTGAAATTTTGTTGTCGTTATTTGGTGTCATCTTTTCTCTTAACTGGCTATGTTGGCCGTGTAATGCCAGATAAATATTTTCGTGTTAGTGTAAAATCTCTTGCTTTAAATTGCGTCGCTTATATTTTAAAACTTTGTCCAAACTTGTTTTTAATTCCTGTTGCTAAAGAATCGAAATCTATTGAAAATGAACAAATGATAACAGATATCTTATTGTTTGCAAATCATTCAGATCCTCAAATTAGGGGTAATATATCAATTATTATTGGTACATTTTTAAAATCCGTATATACACAGTATGGCGGATCTTTCAAAAATTTTGAAAGAGAAATCTCAAATAAGAAAGTAAATGAAATTATATCGTTAGAAAATTTAATCAAACTACTGTTAAAGGTAAGCTATTATATTGAGCCATGTAAAAATTTATGAACAATTTTTACTTATGTGTTTTCTTATAAATTAGGGATTAGAAGATGATTCTGCTACTACATGTCGACAAACGCTAACGGCATTTAGTTTATGTCTACCAGAGTTGTTAGAATCTGTCGACAATAAACACGGAATTACCGTATTAGCTGCATTACCTCAACTAGTAAAGAACCCATATTTTCTCGTAAAAGTTAAATTAGTAGAACTACTAAGTGAGATATCGTACGTTACTATAGAACATATAACTGGTGGATCAATGTTCCAAGAACATTTTATCGATGTTATTATAACGCTATTAGGTGACCAAGATCAGAGAATTAGACACGCAGCATCAGATGCTATTGTCAAGTAAGATTGTTCAAATTCATATCATTAGGACTCATTTCACTTAATTAATGCAATTCTTTTTTTAGGAGTGTTCCTTTATTGTATTTTCAACAGCCACAAGAAGATGTTATTACAAGGAAAGCTGTGCAATATACGGCACAATTTTTAAGTGCCGTGAACAAAAGTTCTATAGAATTATCTTCCTGTCAGGAGAAACAAAAGTTATTTCTAAATACTTCAATACAGCCATTTGTATCTTTGAATTCTCACAATGCAGTGGATTATCATCCGAACATAGAGTACTCTTTATCCGTTATAGTTAACATGTTAGCGGAGATACTTGGAGTACAATCATCAAAGTATTTAGTGTACGGTTGTTGCGAAGCTTTATTCCATTTGAGTAATGTATATACTACTACAGTGTACTTCAGAGGATGGGATTGTATTTCACCAAAGACGCTGTTAAAAAAATCTCACAAGAGAAGCGGTAGTCGACTAGATATCAGTGAATCAACTTTTGCAAACGATATGATACCATCAACCGTTAGCAATAGTCTGTTATCCTTAGCGTTACCCTTATTATCATCGTCCCCCATAAGCTTGGATTTGTCAACGCATAAACATTTGATTCTCCTGGCTGGGAATCTCGCGTCCGGTCTAGCTTTCTGCAATTTCAAACCTAATGACCCAACCAAAAATTGGGGTACGTTTAAGGATAAACAAATAGAATTGCTGCTAGTACACATTACAAGAGTATTAAACATATTTGTTCATATAATTGAGGATGTGCAGTTGACTCAAACCAGTACAAAAACAACATTGCCATCTTTGTCATCCACTCAAACGTTATCCCCGAAGAAGAAGATGACCATTTCCGAATCAAAGTCAAAAGAAAAAAGTGAGAAGATCGGAAGTTTAAAGTTTGGGAAAGAACAAATGGGGTCGTTCATGTCGATACCTCATTACACAAGAATGTACGAAATCCTTAAAGCAGCGCATTTAAATTATTTAGCCACTCTCGAGCCGCATGCCAGTGAAATGTATTTATCTCTATTGAACGCAGTCTTGGATGTTCTCTCGCAGATCCTTGAAATTATATCCCTCAACGAAGTGGCTCAAATCGCAGAAGAGATTTTGTATTATCTGCAAAGTACTATGATACTCTCGCCAACCGCGACGGTTCAGTGTGTGCAACAGTTGTTAAAGTGTCTGTTCAGTACCAACGTATATGCACAATGGAGCGAGTTAGACGTGCAGAAAAATGCAGATAAACTGATAGTGTTTCGAGATGACGCTAAAGGATTTTATAATCATTGCTTCCAAAATCCTGCGAGACAAATGGCAGACACGATCAAGTCTATGGGTAACAACTGCAGAGGTGAAAATGAACCAGAGACTGGGTGAGTTTATTACTCAGTGTAAAGAAACATAGTTTGTTACACCTTCTTTTTATTTCAGGTGGGTGGGACTGTTGCGTAGGAAGGGCGACAGAAAATTTTCTTCAGTTTTTAAAAATCTAACACGCTTATCCGATCAAAAGACTTCCGTAGCCTCCTTTATTCGTCTGTTCGAGCCAATGGTCATCAAATCCCTGAAGCAATATACTGTAACGAGTAGCGTGTCGTTGCAATGTCAAGTACTGATGTTGCTCAGTCAACTTGTCCAGTTACGAGTCAATTACTGCTTACTGGACTCTGACAGAATATTCATCGAATTTGTGTTGAAACAGTTTGAGTTCATCGAAGAGGGACACGTGCAACAAACGGAGGATCTTTTACCGAAGATCTTCAATTTCCTGGTGCATCTTTCGTACGAAAAGAATCATTCGAAAGCCATAATAGGAGTTCCAAAGATAATTCAACTGTGCGACGGCCTAATGGCAAGTGGACAGCCAGCGCTCACACACTGCATTCCAGCGTTAGCCCCAGTAGTCGAAGACGTATTCCTGATTCGAAACGCCAGCTCGAGTCCAATAGAGCAGAGGGAGTTAGAAACGACTAGGGAAGTCTTAATCTCGATGCTTTTGCGTCTCGTAGAGTATTATCAAATCATCGAATTGTTGGCATTATGCTTGACGGAGTCTAGATTTAGCGGTGATGGTAACGGCGAAGAGAAATGGCGGAGATGGTCCAGATCGACAATGGACTCCGTTCTGCCTATGTTAGCAGCCGGAAAAATTCGAATAGAGTCGGAGAAAGCTCACGTAGCTTTGGTGAAATTATTCGCAGCTATTTCCCCCACAGTTTTTAGGCCAGTCGATCCTCTTTTGAAAGTGCTTCTAGTTACACCGGAGTCCCTGGAAGTTTCAACGTTGAAGCTGAAGCGATGGCTGGGAATGGTTAACGTGGTTTTGTTATCGTTAATCGCGTGCGCGAAAGAGGAGGCAATGTTGGCCCGACTCTCCGACCTGAGTGTAAATATGACTGAATTATCGCAATCGTTTCTCCTCCCAGAATGCTCTGGGACCATGGACCCCCTGCACGTGTTAGGCTTTCAATCCATCGAAATTCCGCCCGAAAAGATACTAGCCAGATTCATATTCAAAGTCATCAGTTTAATAAGTTCGAAAGTGTATGATCTTCTTGGACTGATCGATCACAAACGTAGCGATCCATACGTTGGTTTCTCCGAGTCTACAGAGGACGATCATTATTTGGTCCACCAACTGGCATTCTTCCTTCAACTGTGCATTCACATGTTCGAGTCCGGAAGTCATTGCAAAGTTGCGAACGCGGCTATACAAATGATTCAAGGTCGCAATGTTCCCGAAACAGAAAAGCTACCAATTGCCGACTTAAACTACTCGATGCTGAATATCGGACACAGATGCCCCATGTTGACTTGTCAGTGGGCGTATCTAATGATTTTATTGGGATACAACGAGATGACCTTCTGGTCAAAAATATTGGGCACCCGTCGTCCGGACTATGCTGTGCATTGTTCTTCCCTGGACGAAAAGAACTGTTCCACCGAACAGGAAAGTAGTATTAACATTCAGATCATCAGGAAGGGTGGCATCATATTATTCTGCGATTACGTATGCGAAAATTTGAGCGACGCCGAGCCTCTAACGTGGTTGTTGGTGAACCACACAGAAGAAACCGTGAACAACGCCATCGAATCTCCCGTCAAAGATCTACTGACAGCTGCTATTCACAGAAATTCAGCAGCCAGTGGATTGTTGGTGCAAGCGATTGCTACGAAATGCACGGATCTATCTCAGCCCAGTTTCGTCAAACGACTCCTGCAGTGCATCGAAGGTGCTCATCACTCGCAAAGTGGAACGGTTCTGTTAACCTTGATACCAAGATTGCTGTCTACAAGATATCTCGCTCTGTCTAGAATGGCAGCTAAGATAGCCAGTAGAAGAGTAGAAATTCTGCTGACCACTTCCGTTGAAGACGTGACGAAGCAGCTGTCGAAGGAGGATTTCACGAAGATCATGGACATTTTGCAGTCGACTAAGCTAGCTAAGAAGCATGGAGGACTGGTCAGCCTGCTGAACAAATTAGGCGTACAATATTACGACCTGTCTCCTTTAGAACTTGATCAGTGCAGACCATTTAATCCATCCACAGTAAAAAGTATTCAACTGGACCGCAGTTGGTTTTTGTCTCAGGTAAAGTTGCGGTGTTGCAATCCGATTGCCAGCTACAACCCATCGGAGACGGCGCAGTTGCTGAAAGACCTGGACTTCGAAGACTGTCTCGGTATTCTCTCTTCCAAAGAATTCAACATAGCGATCTTGAAAGCGTGTATAATACTGGGCGTACGAACGAGCGTCGAAAAGTGCCAAAAATTAGAGTTCGGCGTGACGCAGAATGAAAAAGACTTCAACTTCGAAACTAGTCCTTTGTATAGTGCTGCGAAGCAACGTTTATTAGAACACGTTCGCTACGTCACCGAATTAATGCCAAAACCTCACCACGTTTACGATCCTGCACAATCCAGTGGTAGTTCGAAGGGGTTGAAGTACGCCATTCGACTCGACGAGCTGCTAAACGAGTCCATCTACTGGGACATACTGTACGTGTTGATCCCAGCTGTAAGAGTGTACGTGAGAACCCTGCCAAAACTGGCAAAATACAATTTGGCGAAGATAGACAGAAAGTCTGAAGAGGACCTCGCGAAATTTGCGGTTCTATGTTTAGAGTTGACGCACTGGACACTGTACTGTGACGAGAAAAATACGAGGAAGCTTAGACCTAAGGATATGGAGATCGCGTTGAGTTGTGCCTCGGAGATCATGAAGCATCCTGGTCCGGATAAAATCTTCTGGGACAACAGCAAGTATTCGTGGGTTTGTAGCGCTGCCGCTTCGTTGACGAGGACGGTGGAGCATCTGTTAACGACGATCGACACTTTGTCGGTTATAGACACGCGTGCTTTAGAGCCGGCACTCGAAGACGAGAGTACCAAAGACTTTGCCCGTGCCTGCTCCCGAATGGCAGCTCTGGTTGCGTGGTTAGAGCACTGCCAGAGCGAAGGGTCATCAAAGAACATTCCTCGCTACTTGTTCGACACGATACAGGATCTAATTGTAAGCATAAGTCGTCAGCCACTGATCAATTCTTACGTCTTAACGCCACCGCTGGTTTGGAAGCACAATTGGAACGTGGTAGGTTCTGGTACAACGAAGTGTTGCTTCCCGTTGTTGCCCTCCGAGTCGAATCTCTTGCAGGAAGTGGAGATCCTCGAGCAGTTCATTTTCAGGATAAATCTGCTGGGCTGGATATCCCGCTTGCAGTTCGAGGAAATATGGATGGCGCTGTTAGGGGTGCTGAACCTCTTGCAAAACGAAAGTCTGCAATCGGAGGAAATCCCTGCGTTGATTCAAGCGAGTAGTTTAGCCGTGCAAGCCATCACCAGGTTGCTCCTGCAGACCTTGCTCCTTCCTTACCCTGGAAACCCACGGGCCAGCACTTTGATTCATCATTCGAGGGACCCTCAGCTTTCGGTTCACAAAATTAGCTCGCAGAAGTTGTACGCGATTCAAGATCTACTCGCGTGGAAGTACGAATGCCTGAACGACTCGGAGACTACCGGTGCTCTGAGCATGGACCACATCTTCTGCCGAGGAAACGTGGAACGAGTTGCGAACTCGAGTAAATACGCGTACAGTCAACTGTCCGTTCCTTATCTCTGGTCGTCGTGCAATCTGTACGAAGACAAGCTGAACGCCTCTGTTCTTGACTTGAAAAATAGACGGAACGACGCGTTGATGTCTGCCTCGCTCGATCTAGATTCCTGTCTTCGTTTTTTGGTAGAGCTTTACACTTCTTGGATGTCGTCGCAGGCCAATACACCTATACAGTTGCTTACAGAAATCGTGAAATCTATTCTAGCGATTTCAGAACTGTTCGTCGAGAGAAGTCAGTATCAGTGGATGCTGGACACGTGCTTGGAGATGTCGAGGATTCATCCTACGGAAAATGTGATCTTACATCAGTACTTAGTGGTGTCCGTGTGCAAGGCTGCTGCTGTGCTAACGCCTTTGGTATGTAATTAAATTGAAAGATTTTTTGGACACATTTATACAACTTTTCTGTTACAGGACTTTGAGACGCTGGACAAAGTTAAACGCTTGGTGGACCTGAACTTGAAGTCAGGTTTCTTGCCAGCGAGAGTATCTGCTCTTCACGGTTCGCTGTATCTTTTGCAAAGCGCTGTGCTGGCTAATTGCGAGGAAACCATGAATATTATACATCCTTTGGCAATTGAGTACATACAGAAGCATCTCGATGCTCAGGACTCGAATGGGTAGGCTATCTAATACTAGTAATCTTTGTTTCTGTGTTAACAATTATTATTTGAATTAAGGGTGCTGAATCAAAGCGAAGAGCATCAGGGAGTGATGTGGGCTCTGGTATTCTTTCTACTGGAGCACGCAGAGGACACTCCACCGGACACGGAAGCTCCAGCTGTTCTTGAACTGGTCCTTACTTTACTTTCTTCCCAAAATATCTCCTCCAGTTTGCATCAAACGCTCTTACAGGTATCCGAAAGTATTTATTAAAAAAATAAACGTATAGATATTTTAACTTCTTTTGCCATCTATGTCTAATGTGTGCTATTAACACAGGGCCTTGAACGACTCGTGGCGACTAAGAGCGTAGTCGGAAAAGTAGCCGAGCAAATAGTTAAGGTTGCGATAGATCGTTTGAAACAACCCAGTCCCGTGTTGTCGATACCCGCCTTACAATTGTTGCTGACTTGCATGTACACGGAAGCAGCCGACAGATTGAACCAACCAGAGGTAGAGGAACCGCTACCAGACGCAGAACCGGAAGCACTGGTTCGGTCCATAGAAAGAACTTCCGCGATTTTCGACAAGATCAGACGGGGACACTTCATGGAGGTGGAACTCCTGTGCACAGTTCTGTCCGGTGTGCTTGGAGACTTTTTCCCGCCGTCTGAAATCTTGACTAAAGTCATAGGAGAATTTCTGTCTCCTCAACAGCCTCACCCACGGTTACTTTCTGCTGTAGTTTTTAAAGTTCGTATCTTGAGTATAGATTCGTATATGAATGTGGAACCATTAACGAACGACTGTTTTTAGGTTTGCGAAAGAGCGTGTACCTGCGCTCAGATGGAACTTCTTCAGGATTGGGTCGTGTTTAGTTTACCAAATTTTATTCAGAGTTTACCAGTGACGATGTCAACGTGGTGCCTGTCTTGTTTCTTTATTAGTACTTCTACGAACCACTGGCTGAGAGCCTTGTATCCTTATTCGTTTTAAATTATTTTCAATTATTTTATTCTTAAAGTTTCTTTAACACCTATTCAGATTCCCGTATGTTCAATCAAGAATTGGTAAATACGAGTACGAGGATAAAAAGATACTTTGCATCGCCGCTTCCGATTTTTATCGCAAGGTACAAGAACTTAGCGAAAAAAGAGCTAAGAATAAATTTCATAATGTTAATGTATATTTTATTTTAGCTGGCTAAGGAAACTCAAAGGAAAGCTTTCGTAGAAACTTTCGAAGCCGCGGCGAAAGAACCTGGGACTCCGTTCGGCGACATTTTAGCGTCCTTTTAGCTAGTTTTATCGATCGTCTCGATGCAAGGAAATTGAATCAAAACTAGAGATATTCATCGAAACGATACACGTAATTCTCTTTGTAAAATCGGTGTACAATCATAACACGGTGGTGACGTGTCGCGTGTACAGTGTATGTATGTGATGATATTTATTTTACGTCTTGTCCCGTCGAGAAGAACTTGTTTTGCAATAAACAATATTTTTTAAATACTTTTTTATCGTGCATTTCAAACGTTTCCTTGTACAATAGGTGGAGGTATTAAGGTAAAATCACCTTATCCTTTTTCTGTGCACTTTTCATTTGACCTACATAGCAACAAATGCGAAACGTAGCGTAATAAACGATTTCAACGAAAGATAACACGCTAGCTCCTAGAAACAACCCAGCGGCTCCTCCGACGCTAGCTGAAATAAATTATTCGTTTCGATAATATCTTAATTTTGTATAGCTATACTTACTCAAAAAGTCCGTAAATCCGTAGAACGGCACTCGATTATAAATTGCCTGAGGAAATTCGATTTCCAAAGACACAATGGACGTCTCTATCGGTCCTGAGATTCTGCAATAACCCAATTTTATTTATCTCGTATTTTACAATTCATTTTGATACTTTACCCTTCGCTCTTTTCGCTGTCTGTTATCTGATAGAAAACCGCCGTGCATTTCGGAAGGCAGCCACAAGAATGAGGTGCATATTCGTGCAGAAAAAGATGCTTCGTTATCCCGCCAATGCATCGAAGTTGCGTAGCGTTACAAGTTTTCGCACCTCCTGTAAAACGTTCTTCCTTCACGTTCTCAGAAATTGTAATAGTAAATCGAATACCGTAAGGTCTGGCGAAGTGCGGGCGACAGTGGCAATACTTCTCTATCATTTTCATCCTGCATTCGATTGTACACATGTTTGGCGTGTACACTGGCCACGTTTCTAAGCCACCATCAGCCTGGAATTTGCACTTCCGTTGATGGACGCTTAGATGAGTGAGATTTGTCTTTGTCTTGATCTCAAATATCGATAAAGTTGAGCGTTGCACTACTGTTCGCTGCAACAATTTTATCGGGGTGCCGTATGCCACCACCTCGAAAGGATCACAGAGGCTCCACTGGGCCGAACAAATTATTTAAAGTGATTAACAATGAAAATTCAAAAATTACAAAGTATACAGGACGATTTATCATATGTGAGTTATTCGTAAACGTACTATGGCTGCGCTATTTATTGCAAAAGACTGTTGGGTCCCATCAGCACTATAGTCGTAAGTGTCTACTACTATAGGTGGTATCTTAACGCTGCTGTCGTTAGACTTCCAAAAGCTTGTAATGCATAAATTCAGTTTTTATTGACTGCAAATCTCTTTTATCTTAAAGGAAGATACCAACTTCATGGTCGAGAAGTATCCATTGTAGCTTCTGGTAGCTAAACACAAGCCCCTTTCCGTTACAACCCACATCTCGTACCGGTCATTTTCCCTCAGTATATTAGGAGGAATGTCTTTTCGCAGGTCGTGAAGAATGCTTAACCATTTGTCCGGTGATACCTTGTCGAACAGAGGAGTCTCCAGCATGTTCTTGTAATCGACGTTCGCCAGAAAAGTGAAGAACTCCACCGCTTCCGCAGTGTTGTCGATTCCGTATCTATTACAGGTTTACAAAAGTAGAAGAAACTCTGAAATTATAATTACTTACTTTTGAAATACACTTGGTATCTTCGCTGGCTCTATGTTGGGTACTGGACAAATGACCAGAGATGGCTTAGGAATTGCGAACTGTTCAGGATTGTTATCTACCACGATCACCGTAGCATTGTTCTGGTACCGATCCCAGAAAATGGAGGACAGTAACATTAAACACATCAGAGCACCCAGGATGAAAAGTACAGCTAAAAATCTAATAAAAATATATATTTTAACAAATTATATATACATCTTAATATAAAATTTATGTACTTTTCCACAGGATGTCGATTTGGAGCAACCAAGTGATTTAATCCGTGTATCGTCGAGACACTCGCGAACTCCACGAAATACTTTCCAACGTTAGACTTCGGATTAATCGTCCGCATACCAACATGCTTCGGAACATCGGCTGGCACGGACTCTTTTTCCCTAAGTATGGCCTTTTGCCGAGCTTGAAAGTCTGCCAATATCTCATTGTCGTAAAAGTGTTTGCCTTCTTTCGCTGTCGTTTTGCTTCCGTTCACCGATATCTTTGGCATACCTGCTGTTCGAATAACTGCCTTCTTTTTATTGCATAAAACGCGGATCGTGAGGAAAATCACGGCACGCGATCATCGATTATGAGTAAGCTGGCAGGAATAGATAAGCAGTGGATAATTCGACACGAACAAAATAATTTATTTATACAAGATAGAATCTTTTAAAAGAAATAGAGTAGAATATTTGAAATGTCAGTGCCTGCTGCGACATTAATGAAAAAAAGTGAAAGCAGATTTAAGGTTTAGTTTCCGAACGTCTTTTCATCCTTTCCTCTTGATTCGATGGACGCGAAACTTCCAGATAACCGAATTTATTATGAACGAGCGTGAATTCGGCTTGAAAGAGTTCCGGGTCGTCCGGGATGAACAGTGCAATTACCACGGAAGAGTCTGAAGACACCGATTGCACGATGGCACGACACGAGTCAGAATTGGTTAAGTTCATCGTTAGACCTCTCTTCGTACTTTCGTTTCGATAACTGTAACCTTCCTCTTCTCGTGCAGGAAGCAGAAGGACGATATGGAACAAGGATATATCGAGGCTGTCGAAAACCGGAGGAGCGTCGATCATACCATGACGTTGTATCCAGCGAGTGTTGCTGCGAACAACTGCAGAGATGCGAGCTGCAGGAGATCGAAAGGAGGCCGAGAAGAAGAACGAAAAGTCAGGTGCGACGTCACGTGCTCTGTAATCACCCGCAAGAACCGTGGAACTTGATGGAAAGGGTCAAGTAATAAAATATGAACCTCATCGTTAAACGTGTAATTCGTGACGAACGATTTCAGTTGTCCCCAAAACGTGGATGCTACCTTAAACAAGTACCAACACCTCTTGAACCAAGAGACCAAGAAGTCGCAAGATTTGTGTTCACACAATCCTCATTTGAGAAAAAGGCAAATGAGCGTGCACCGACGTTTGCGCAAAGAACAGGATCAGATATCTGCAAGAAAATTCATCGACTTCGACCCGAATCCCAGAGTTTGCTGCGAGTACGAGCGGTCAATGAAGGACATACACGGCAGGGACAGCGAGATCGATGAGCAATCGGATGATAATTTTAAAAACCGTGAGGTATGTTAGGAGACTTATAGAATGGATGTATCAAGTTTCACTCGAATACGTTTGAATAGGTGATGAGAAGAATTTTAGAGGACTTAGATTATGACTTCAGCAAGCATTTACTGAAAAATTATATGCAGCAGAAGGAACGGATGTTAAGACCAGAAGCGTGTATGTTGAGGCAGCACGCTGAGAAGGTCAATAAATTAGAGGCGAAGAAGTTCAGCGACGACGACAATCGTGACCTGTCTCAAAGCAAGCTGAGGTTCGCTCTACCAGATTACGAGAACTCGAAGGAGATAGATCTGAAGAACATCGAGGAGGAAAATCAGACGAGGAAGAAGCCTAACGCGATACCGAATAAACCTTTCACGATGAAAAGCAACTTAAAAAGTAGTGGCTTGCCGATTTTGCCGAAGAACAAGATCGACGATATGGTACATGTTCATCTGCTCGTTTTTAAACATTGCACTAAGTATCTATTCTTGCAGTTTGGACAGAAGAATCTAGTCGATCGTTTGCAGGAAGAAGACGCGCGAAAAGAGACGGAGGATCGATCTGTGAATAAACGCAAACCGTCTATTGTTAGACAGAATTGTAAACCCATCGAGGAAGTTAGCAGGAAGGAAACTAGAGAAGAAACGCCGTACGATTTGATCATGAAGGACGAAGAGGAAGAGGAGAATTCGATCAGAAAGAACATCTACGGCGGTGGAGATCTTGAACTTCGCGCTACCAAAAGTCACATTCTTAGTTTAATCGATAGGGCCATCAGCAGCGAATTCGGCAAGTTGTCCGATCAGCAACAGGTTTATAGATGTTCAGAGATTACTTAGATTGTTTGCAGCTTGACGCGTGTCGTGTCGATTGTTTCTTCTGCTTTGTTCTAGAGCCCAGACTCGAGTCGGGGAATTACGGGGCAAGAAATTTGCATAGAGATAATGCGTCAATTGCACAGTAATTGTTGTCAGTCGCTCGCGGAGGATCTACTGAGTCATCAAGAACCGTCGGCTGATTGCATAAAGCTGCTAAAAATGCTTCGTTCGGATCACATGACTCACATTCAGGAAGAGTTTCGGAAACTCTGCAATCTGCAAAAATTTCTGGATACTTATTCGCCGAGACAATCGTCGCCCGCGTTTCAGTACCCGGCCGCGGGCGAACAACGGACTGAAGAGCGACAGCAACAACACGAAGAGAAACAAAATTCTGGAACGATTCCTTGAACAACGATAATAAATTTTCCTCGATAAAAATTTGTTAATTTTTTATTTTATATCGGAACGTATTTTTCTAATCGTGGAGGATTGGATAATAAAAGACTGCGCGCCGGGCGCTCCGCGCCTAACCTAACAATGTTGAGTGAGCGAGTAAATTTCACGCTAAAGCAAAAATAGTCAACAGTGTCATCCAATTGAATTGGTTGAGTGGTGCAAGAGAAAAAAGGTAATTATTCCTCCGTAGCATGTGCGGGCGGCGCGCAGGAGGAATATACACGATAATGAGTATGCAAAATCGTTAATTACTCACTTTCTGAGCACAGTCTACGAACTTTTATGATTAAAGAATGGTCAGCAACGCATTATTTACATGGTTAGAAAGTTCATAAATAATGTTCGGGTAATGAGTAATTAATTATTTTGTATCAGCATTGCGATACGTACATGAGCCGCATATGTCAATTCTACTGCATATGAAAAGTGCAATATTTCGGCACTTTGACGACGCAGTATGGTTCCTGAGACATTTAGAAACAAATTTCTATTAGGGTTTGATGCGTTTTGATGCCTAATAAAGCCAGAAAATCAATTTTTGTAGAATCCGGTCCAAAACGGTACAGGTGGCGCCATCTAGCGGCGAGCGGCGGAACTACGAAAAACTAAAATTTCGACTTTCTCGAAAACCAGGAACTTTTCCGAAATTCCGAGATATACGAATTGTTCCTTGTCGCCTACGGAATCGAAC